ACTTTATCTCCGGCCTCTGGATCGCACGGGATTTCGTTGCCTCGCCACTTGCGTAACTCCATGCCAGCATCCGTAAGCACACGCACGCTGAACTCTTGCATCTCCTTAGCTTCCGAGGCATTTGAGACACTAGAGACCAAATCGTCAACGTAGAAACTCGTGAGCAAGAGATCAATACGATCTCGCTCTTTGGGTGCAGACAACGCCCGTAGCTCCTTCAAGTGATGCTGAATCACCGCAGTAAGCATGTATGGCGAGCAGTTTGGCAGTTTCGTTAGCCTCCAGGTTAACAGTTCATCGCTGTCGCTTCGACCGGGCCACAAGAAACGCAGGTACGGACGGTCTTCGGGATTAACCGCGACCATGAAGAAAGCCTTGCGGATGTCCGCTTGCAGCGCGCTCTTATATTCACGGAACCGAAAAAGCATACCTGCGAGACTCGGCAATAGCGACGGTCCAGGGTCAACCATGTCGTTCAACGACTTGCCATCTGGCGCCGTCGCCGAGGCATTGAACACCACTCTTAACTTCGTGGTTGCAGCGTGCTCGCGGAACACACCATGATGCGGTACATAGTACCCGGCATCGCTCTCACATGGCTCCAGCTCAATTGCTCCAAGCTCGCGGTACTCCCTGATCAGCACATCATCATAGAGCGCACGCTTCCCATTCCTCTTCAGCTTTTCAAGAAGCCGCGTTGCGATGACTCTAGCTTGAGCAAAGTTATCCGTTGGCCGACGCTCATTTCGCCACAAGAGACCCACTTGGTACCCGCTGCCCTGGCGACATAGCGGGAAAGATGGCAGGTGCTGATGTTGTTCTGGAGGTTCATCCAACTGCCATAGTTTGTCGATGTGGGCTGTGACACATGACACAGTCACCGGCTGACTGTTTCGACTTGGTGCAGACGCTGGACCAGATAATACATTACCTATCTCTGTGTTCCACACCGTCTCACCATTAACTTCCTTCTTGCTGTGCAGTACCGCGTTGATATAGTCTGCACCAATCAGCATATGTATTTCGTCTGATGTCCCTTGTTGAGGCTTGTCACTCAGCTCTATTCCCCAACTGTGCCACTGCGCAATGGTCTGCGGACTTGCGCACTTCAGGTCCAGCTCAAGCGTTGGTTTCACGAACGCGCGTACCCGCCGGCAACGCCAGTCCCTCGGTGGCCACTCTTTCCAACTCGCAACTCCTCTGCCAGCCTCCAGTCCAGAGTTCATCCGCCGCTCCTTCCCATACTTTGTCCTGGAGAGCTGGAACACACTGCCTGCCCCAATCCTCGCCGAACGCCCAACTCTCAAGAAATTGCCGACATTCAAGACCAAGGCCTACCATCACCTCCGCCAGACCAATTGGCTATGGGCCACTGAAGTCCACCAGCACTGAGAATAACCGGTTGTCTCTATTATGATCATTTTCTGTCTCTCTCTCTCTCTCTCTCTCTCTCTCTCTCTCTCTCTCTCTTTCTCTCTCTCTCTCACTCTTCCTCTCCTGGGAAGCTCCTCATGCTCATTCTCCCTTTCTCTGTCCATTTCCCCTTCCTGATGCGTAGACCAACTGTTGAACCCGAGACCACTAGGTCGGGGGAGGTTGACCTACCTCATCGGCACGCATGCCACGCTCCTCTGTGTTGTCAAAGTTCGCTTGTCCACTTTTGTCTACCTCCCCTTTTATGTTGCTGGCCAGTGCTTTGTAGTAAAAAAAAAATTAAAAAAAAACCCGAATGCTAGCGGAGCTACCCTGGATCGTGATGGCGTACTTATCCATGCGCTGTTGGGTTGGTTCCGCGCCGAACGGCTTCACCTCTACATTTTCAACCCCAACGTGTTCTGCATCGATTGCTGACACCAACGCTGCAGTCAGGAATGACGCCTCAGCACCCGAGTCCAGGAACACTCGAACCTTCGCGTTTCGAGTTCTTCCCTCAACTCGTGCCACTCCGGTCATCAGCCGCACACTTGGCGAGTGTAGACAGCACGACCCAACATTCTTCTCCGTAACTATCTCAGTCGGTTTTTCCCGGCTGTAACCTGCTCTATCCAACACATCATGTATTAGCAGGTGGTGTTTCCTCTGGTATTTCGTGCATCTTGAGCCTGACCGACATTCTCTGGCCATATGGCCATACTTAAGGCAGTTCCAGCAGAGTCTCTCTCGCTGCAGAAAACCCTTTCTCCCTTCCTGTGGCAGCGACTTTAGCTGCTTCTCTGCATCTGCGACCGATATCGCCATGCACTGTGCCGACGCCGTGGGCCTTGGCATGGATCGTTCTACTGGCTTCCTGGCAGTATCACCCTGTCGTCCGTGCGCGACCTGGTAAGACGCGCCGTGCTCCTGTACCTGGCGCAGTGACATCCCGTAGCACTGCCGTTCGACCAGGTACGTCTTCATCTCAGGTCCGCATTGCTCCAAGATTACCTGCTTTGCCATTGCTTGCAGCACCGGGGACATTTTTCCTATATCGGCGCTATACTTGGTGTCCACCTCGCCATCTTCTGTCATAGCGAGTGTGGCCCACACCTCTACCTCTCGGCAAACACGGACAACGTATTGATGAAACGACTCATCTGACCGCTGCTTGCCTGTCAGCAATGTCTTGCACGTTTTATCCGGAGTCTTTCCGAGCGAGGCAAGCAACTCTCGTTTTGCTTCCTCGTAATTATTGCATCCAATACATATCCTCTCCGCTTTGCTACCCGCTAGCGCGATGCGCAGTCGCAGCAGCCATTCGCTTTCTTCGAACTCGTTCTTGGAACAGATGTCCTCGAACAGGTCAAGATAACGCTCCAATGGCTGCGTTCCATCATATGAGGGGATTTTCATAACCGGTTGACGCCCACCGCTGTGACTGGGAGATTCCTCTGTACCTCCCATCGTGGCTTTACCCTCACCCTCCTGCGCATTGGCGATGCGCTCGTTAATCTCCTTTAGTGTTTTGGCAAACTCGGTGCGGAGCGCCTCCTCTCGCCGTCTGGCACTGCGCTCCTCACGCTCCGCGTACTGTTGGAGCCTCTGCTCCACATGTACCTTCAACAACTCGCCTTCTAATCCTAACCGCTCTCCATTGTCGATAAAGCTGGCTTCCAAATTGTTCCATAGTTCCTCTGCCATGCTCGCTCCTATCCTGGCGTGGTCGCCAAATGTTGTGAACCCTCTGGTTCTCTAAAGTATCAGGAACGAACGACCCCACACGGCACGAGGACAACTATTTATTCTCAACAATATCTTTCACTTCCATCGACTAATAATGATGAACAATGAATGAACAACTGAAACAACTGAACACTAATAACACCAGCTATTTATAGCATGCAAAAACAGCGTACATGCAAAACATAAGCAGATAAAACTGGACATAACAGCGTATACAGCAAAACGCACACAACGCATATAGCGTATGCCATGCAGCAACATCAGCGGTACGGCGGAGTCGAAATACAACATTTCAACGAATACAATGCCATAAGCGCGAAGGCTTTTCCCAATTGAGAACTGGTGGTTTACAACAGTCGGTATCACACTCCGCAGAGCGGAGAACTTGACAATCCAGACATTGATGCTGACATGACTCCGGAATAATGCAGTAGTCGATACAATGAGGCTGCCCATACCTTGGGGGTGGTGCCACGTGTGCTTGTGGATGTCCTTCTTCCTGAACCAGGTGTTGCAGATGAGCGCACTGTTTCTGGCCAGGAGGTTTAGTAAATCCTCTCCAGCAGAATTCATGACGCCATATCCATGTGTACCCCTTACGTAGCTCTACTCGTCTCCAGCAGTACCAACACCAACACCAGCATTGAAATCGCCGAGTATGATTTACTGGTCACTCCTGGGTACACTATCAAGGAAGGACTGCAAATTTTCATAGAACGCAGCTTTCTCCGAACGTGATCTACTGAATGTTGGTGCATACGCAACAGCGATGTGAATGCAAGACACTGAACGATTACGACCACATTCGAACTTTACTTTCGTGGAGACAAGTCGCGAGCTGTGTCCTTTCCATTCCGAACCTCTGCTGACAAAGGCGTCTCTGCACTTTCCGCGCAGCACTATCGCCACACCTTCACCACGACGGCCAGAATCATCCGCCGTCGGAGTAGGGCATCCACCCGCCAAAACGAGAGTCGCCAACACTGTACTGAGCCGTGCCGAACCAAAGGGTCTCCTGCAGACCTGCGATATCCACTCCGAAACGTCCAAGCTGCCGACAAACCAGGTCAATTTTCATCTCCTCCCGCAACAAATGTTTTGATTTTTTTAATTTTGAAGCCGTATTTACGTCGCCGTCGGACTCAACAAGAGTCCTCACATTCCAGGTTCCCAGAGACAGCACGAACCTCCGAGCGGCTGGTGCATGCTGCGAGCTAAGCTCTGAGCGGGGGTTTGCAACTCCTCCGCGCTCAGGCGGACGAGGGTCAGCACGAGTGGTCATATCCGAGGTGACCACACGTACATGTACACACACACACACACACACACACACACACACACACACACACACACACACACACACATACACACACACACACACATGCAAACACACACACACACACACACACACTTGTACTTGTACTTTTTGCTCACTGCCAAACTGGTCAAGTGGGACTCCCCGGGAGAGGGGGGGGGGGGGGGGGGGAGACTCACAAGGAATCTTGGAAAGATAACTCAACTGGCTATTGAACCGCCCAACGGCCAACACCCCCTGAAACCCCAAAACTCTGGGTGGACTTGAAAATGATCCCATTTATGGGCTCACCACACCTCCGTAAGTGGGTGAGGACAAGGTGCAGAAAAAAGGATTGACGGCATCAGGGTATCCGTCCTGGGACACACACACACACACACACACACACACATGCACACACACACACACACACACACACACACACACACACAAACACACACACACACACACATACACACACACACACACACACACACACACACACACACACACACAAACAAACACACACACACACACGAGGTCTTACTTCCTCCATGCGAAGAATTCCTCTCAGAATGCGAGGAGCTGGAGCGTGGCATGGCAGCTGCTGCCGCACCCGCATTCTCCGCTGCCTTGGCCTCCTGATGAACTTCATTCAGTTTCTTCGGCTTATCTTCCCCGTGAGCCGCCCCGCCACGCTACGGCATAGACAAGCAAAACAAAAGAGACGGTAACAGAGAGGTTCTAATTTTTGGTCTGCGACCTGTTCTGCAACGCGATAACAATGCTCAGTTTGTTCTTATCGGGCTTAACCTTATTGACTCTCAAAACGGAGTAGCAGTTCGAAATGAGTGAAGTGTATTAGGAATGCAGACTCTCGCCAGGTGTCCTGCAATAGGCATTCTGTAAAACCAAGAATCCATCCACAAGAGTATGGGTCAGCAGTGAGGCACGCTGCTGCTGCTGCTGCCGCCGCTGCCTCCATCACACCATGCAGCGTCATCATCAGCCAAAGAGTCTGGTAAGAAACCAGAGCACACCTCACATCTAGGTGAAACTGCTTGCTATAGTCTAGGTAGTAAAGTGGCGACGGGACACTAATGTGTGTGCACAGACGTAGCTGCACGTCTCACTTACATTTACTAGCACTGTGTAGCGTGGTCGCGGGTGGGTGGTGGTCGTCGGTCGCGTTGAGCGAGCGGTCGCCTTATCCGAGCTGTTTTGAATGTGAATGCATCCGTGACAAGGAAAAGTGGTCGCCATGGTCGATTGGTCGCCATATCCGAGTGGTCGCCATTACAGGTTTAACTATATGAGCCGCAATCAGCGAAAACGACCCTTAGAGATTTCGTAATTTTTTCGAGAAAAGGTCGATTTGTGACGTTCAACGATTGTTTTGATCGCGATGCGAACAGCGCGACGACTTCTTGAACTCCTTGCTTGAACTAATTTATTTTGAAGTAATTAGTTAGTTGAAGTGGTGTCGAGTGGTGACTCCAGTGTTCCTTGATCTTGCTGCGATGGATGCGGACGCCAGAGCTGTTCGCAGCGCACACACGGCAGTCATTGTCTACAGCTAGCTCGAGCCTGGTGGGGATCCGGGAGTGGATGCAGAAGTAGCCGCTGAAGTTCAGCCCTCACCAACGCTGTACAAAGCGTCACTGGCCCGTTTCTCAACGGTCGCGCTAATCGACCAATCAGCGTACAGCTAATGTACCAAAATTCTCAAACTTACCGTAATTCCTTGGTTCATACGGTGTAGTTTCCAAAGATTTTTTATGGACCAACGTCTTCTTTCGATAGATACCAACAGATCGTCCGCTTCGAATTTTTCGATTTGATTGCCGCTTGGCCGAAAATTACCTCCGAAACCGGCCTCCACTCGTTTCACTTCAAGGCTTTCCAGGTGGACGGCATCGCAATTCGGAAGCGGAGAAAGGATAGCCAGTGAAAAAAGAAAAACAACGACGTATTGGTTGTCAAAATCGACCAAGAAATGAATTCAATAGACCTGTTTCCGTGCTGCGCCCTCGCGGCCCGCGCGAGTGCGAAAGGGATTCTTTCTCGACAAAACAAACAACAACTACGCGCAGTACACAGGTACATGCAGGTGCTTTTTGCAGTGCAGTACACTGACATCACTGCACTGGCACTGTTCTTTTCCAAGGCATGATTGTCGCTAGTGGGAGAACTCAGCCACCTGAAGCTTTCATAAAGGAAGAAGTAGTAGGTGAATGAGTTCGCCAGAAAATGGAACGACAAGAACTGAATAGATACTGTTGCTTTCCGGGCCCGGGGGGCGCTCATGAGACGACGGCAAGATAGGACTGAAGCGATCGACAGTCTGCCTCGACGCAAAAGAAACTCTTCTAGGAGAAGCTCGACGTGCTGTAGAGTTTGCAGTATTCTGCTGGAAGAAGACAAGAGAACTAAACTCAGACTACAGCGTGGAGCTGAAGCACGAGCGAAGCAAAAGCTGAGCGAGTTCGAAGAAATGGGGAAACACAGAAAAATGAGTGGGCGACATGATCTTTAGCTCGAAGCTCGCGCTAAGACACGCGGTGGGCACGTGCGCCTACGGGTAGCGCGGCCAGCCACCATGTTTTCAAAATGGAGGTCGACGCTTTTGAAATCCGTGTAGACGATGGTGAGGGCTGAAGTTCAGAATAAGGATGAGACGTTCTTTGGTTCCGACATCCGCATGTCGACAGCGAGGCGGAATCGCAGCCGTCATCTCCTGCTGCGATGCGGCTCAAGGTGGCCGATGACTCGTCAGAGTCGGAAGATGAGGAGTCGTCACCTGAGATAAATTCTGAGTTTGGGGCTAGTGACGGCAGCGACGTCGTGTCTTCAGCTGCGGAGGAAGACATGGAAGACGAGATTGCGGAACGCCTCCACGCAGGATGCAGCTGCGAATATGTCGACCATTTCTCCGCACTCATCAGCTATTCTTTGTCATTATAGCTGCTTACTGCACTATTTCAAAAGTATTCAAGCTGCCCACTCACCTTCGAATGCTGAATATTCATTGTACACATACATCGTATACATACATTGCACCAATTAATTTGGAGTACATATTGTATATTGGTGTACACACCCGTTTTGAATCGGAATATTGAACTTTTTCTTGGCTGAGGTCCTTCAGTAGATATGGTTCAACAAATTTCTAACCAAAAAGGAATTTTGAAAATGTTGACCCTAAGGGCTGTTTTCGCTGGTTGAGGCCCATATGTTGAGTCACAGAAGGACTTACCATCCCAGACACAAAGGAACAACTGGGGACAGGTACTAATAGTGGGAAGACATGTATCATAGACGGAGAGACGGAGAGAAAGAGGAACTAAACGACTACATTGTGAAAGAGAGAGAGATTTGTTGAAGAGAGTTGAGAGAGAGAGAGAGAGATCTGAAGAGAGTTGACGCAATATATAGGGCCTGGGTAGCTATGGCAAACATGGGTGCGCAAGTAGCTACCCAGGCCAACGGAACGAAAGGTGAGAATGACGTAGGTGAGAATGACGGAGGTACCTAACATACCACCCCTCCATGAAAAAAAATCCCGCGTCCTCGCGGAGAGAAAAAAAGAGAGAAAAAGATTTAAAAAATGACTGAGGGAGAAAAAGCACACACACACACACACACACATATTGCACGTGCGCACGTATCTCACAAAAGTGTGTACTAAAAATGCACTACAGATCATTACAACATTCCTGTACTACTTATAGTGTGTAATAACTATTGGAGTTTGACGAGGAACGTGAATTACTAGTATTTTGCACGGCTAATACAGCCTAGTTACACTTTTGCTAAACATCCAAAACTTAGAGCGTGGCTCACCATGATCGGACCCCTAACTTGGTAATGTTTTATGAACACACGCGCGCACACACACTACAAAAAATATTCACGAAACAAATAAACCGAAAATAAATTTGAGGAAGAAGGAACGCATACAAAAAAATAAAAGAGAGAAAGGTAGCTGACCTGCATGACGAGACGAGGTGGACATAGGCGAAACGAGGTTGACAGAGACGAGACGCAGTTGGCGTAGGAGAGACGAGGTTGACATGGACGAGACGAGGTTGGCGTAGGAGAGACGAGGTTGACACGGACGAGACGAGGTTGGCGTAGGAGAGACGAGGTTGACACGGACGAGTCGAAGTTGGCGTAGGAGAGACGAGGTTGATATAGACGAGACGAATTATGCGGCCAGTCGGTAGAGCAGGAGAATCCCAGGGTCGCGGGCTTCGGCAAAAGCCGGGCGCCAATGTTGAGTCACAAAAGGACTCACCATCCCAGACACAAAGGAACAACTGGGGACAGATACTAATAGTGGGAAGACATTTATCATAAACGGAGAGACGGAGAGAAAGAGGAACTAAACGACTACACTGTGAAAGAGAGAGAGATTTGTTGAAGAGAGTTGAGAGAGAGAGAGAGATCTGGAGAGAGTTGACGCAATATATAGGGCCTGGGTAGCTATGGCAAACATGGGTGCGCAAGTTGTACAGTCACCTACCTGTGCCTATATATTTGGCATAGTGCATCCATATGTAATTTGACCCCGCTTCCTATTTCACACCTTCGCGTACGCACATGCACCTCGCATGCACCAGCGGTTACTGTTGCGTGCCTGTGCTGTTTACATGCCAACTCTGTTCCCTGTGTTCTCGACTTCTCCTTCTGTCTTCATCAAGTATAGTTTGTAATTTCTACCAGAGTGTGATGGTCGTGTTGGACTGAGAGAGTGTGCATGGGCATTTACCCTTAGTGCTGTTGCAGTAACGCAACACTTGGTCTCAGAACTGGTACCCCGAACCCTCGCCACCGGACCCGCTCGCCATGGCGAAATTTCAGCCCCCTGAAAGCTTCGACTTTTCCGCACCTGAGAATTGGCCCCGCTGGAAAAGCTGATTCTCACGCTTCCAGATTGCTACCAAACTCTCTTCCGAATCTGCAGACGTCCAAATATCCACTCTCATCTACTCTCTGGGCCCAACTGCGGATGATATCTTCCAGCGTGAGTTGTCCTTCGCCCAAGATTCCGACAAGGACGACTTCGATAAAGTGGTCGATGCTTTCGACAAATACTTTGCACCTGCGGACAATGTTATCCACGAACGGACGCAGTTCGCTCGTCTCCGCCAGCTCCCCGGTGAGTCCGTAGCCACGTTCTCAAGCCGACTCCACTCTGTCGCGGCGAGATGCCATTTCGACAAGCCGTCAGAACGGATCCGCGATCACCTCGTCGCCCACATGGCTGATTCTGAAGTGAGTAAGGCGATGCAGAAAAAGGACATAGGCTCCCTCACCCTCGCCGATGTTTTCAAGGAGGCCAAGGCAGCTGAGACCCTCGAAATCCAGCTAGCCACTCAGCGCTCCGCAGCCACTCAGCCCTCCGTCGCAGCCGCTGTCGCTCGCGGACATCACAAACAATCTCGTGGAACTGGCAGACCGAAGAATGCTCCCGCTGCATCTCGCCAGTCCGCGCCTAGCTACTCAACACGTGGCCCTCCAGCAACCTCTGCTCCGCGCGCTCCCTGCTCCGGCTGTGGCTCATCCAGTAGTCACTCGCGCCGTGAGTGTCCTGCTTGGTCCGTCGAGTGCCGTAAGTGCCAGCGTCGTGGTCACTTTGCCAAAGTGTGTCGTAGCTCTCATCAAGTGGGCGCGAGCGAGATGTCTGACCATCCGGTGAGTGATTCTGCTAGTGCTAGTGCGAGTTGTTTTATGGGTAGTGCTTCATCCGAGTCACAGGAACCCAGTATCTGTGTTTTGAGTTCAGTATCCATTCCTGACTCAACTGAACCCTGGCTTGTTGAGCTCCCCATCAATGGCCAGTCAGTGTTGTTCAAGCTGGACTCTGGCGCAGACTGCACACTCCTGTCACTGCCTTCCTACAATAGCCTCAGTCCTCAACCTAAGCTCACGCCGATCTCCACTAAGGTCACTGGACCTGACGGCCAACCTCTACCCATACACGGCGCATTTGTTGCTGCCAGCTCCTGGAAGGACCGCAACGTTACTTTCCGTGTTATTGTTGTTGATGGCCCCAGCAACCTCCTGAGCCGCAGTGTGTGCCAGGACCTGAACCTCCTGTCTTGCGATGTATCCGAGGCATCCTCAAGCCCTCCGTCCGCTCCTCCTGTCATTGGTCGCATGTCCGGTCCTGCAGCTACCATCGAGCTGCAAGACAATGCCCAACCATATCACTGCCAGACTGCACGACGAGTTCCCATCCACCTGCAAGCCAAGGTCAAAACGGAACTTGACCGGATGGTCCAGATGGGAGTCATCTCTCCAGTCACTGATCCGACCGACTGGTGCGCGCCCATGGTGCCCGTGCTCAAGAAGAATGGCTCCGTCCGCATCTGCGTGGATCTCAAACGCCTGACCCAGTCCGTAAAGCGTTCACACTTCACTCTGCCGACCATCGAACACACCCTGGGCAAGCTGTCCGGAGCCAAGGTCTTCTCGTCGCTTGACACGGCGTCTGGGTTCTGGCAAGTGCCACTTGCTGACGACAGTGCGACACTCACTACGCTCATGACACCGTTTGGCCGGTTTCACTTCAACCGTCTACCCTTTGGTATCACCAGTGCGCCAGAGGTTTTCCAGCGTCACCTACTGGAAATCGTTGGGCACATTCCCAACGTGGTCGTCTTCATGGATGACATTCTCATGTTCGGTGCCACTCTAGCTGAGCACGATGCTGCCCTCACTGCTGTCCACGCAGCTCTCGCTTCTGCAGGCGTACTCCTCAACCCCGCCATGAGTCGCCTCCGTATGAAGTCCCTGACGTTCCTGGGTCACCTCATCGGTGCTGACGGTGTCCGCCCAGACCCAGCCAAGGTGTCTGCCATCCAAGCTCTGAAGTCACCGACCAACATGCCCGAGTTACGCCGTGCTCTGGGCATGTTCACGTTTCTGTCGAAGTTTGTGCCAGATATGGCCAATGTCAGTGCCCCGCTCCGTGCTCTCCTGAAGGCCGACACCGCCTGGCAGTGGGACACCCAGCAAGAAACTGCCTTCTGTCGCCTCAAGGAACTCGCTACTACTGCTCTCTGCTTGGCACTGTTCTCGCCCGACCAGCCCGTCCGTATTAGTGCTGATGCCAGCAGCTACGGACTGGGTGCTGTCCTCCTGCAGCCTGATGGCTCGCGCTGGCGCCCTGTTGCCTATGCGTCCCGCTCTCTATCTCCTACTGAGCAGCGCTATGCCCAGATTGAGAAAGAGTGTCTCGCCATCGTTTGGGCATGCGAGCATTTCCACCACTACATCTACGGCGGTCCTCAGTTCACCGTCGAGACTGACCACAAGCCTCTCGTGCCTCTCATCAACTCCGCTGATCTCGCCCGCTCTCCTCTGCGATGCCAGAGACTCCTGATGCGGCTGATGAGGTACAACCCAACCGCTCTCCATGTGCCTGGCAAATCACTCGTCATTGCCGACACCCTATCCTGTGCTCCGCAAGAGTCCTTGCCTACTAGTGATCTTGCTGATGAGGTACAGCTGCATGTGTCTGCCGTCACATCGCATTGCTCCACCGACCCGCTCTTGGTCGACGTTCGGAACGCGACCAACGCTGATGCCGACATGTGTCGCCTCCGTGCCCTCATCCTCAACGGGTGGCCAGCCAAGCCCACCTCGGTCCCCGCTAGCCTCCGCCCGTACTTCGCTGTTCGCGATGAGCTCTCAATTGCTGATGGTCTCATATTCCGTGGCCAACGTGCCATCATCCCTGCATCCCAGCGCAACGCCGCGCTTGCCAGTGGTCACGAGGGTCACCAAGGTGTTGGCAAGTGTCGTGCTCGTGCGCGCGCTGTGATGTGTTGGCCTGGTATGTCTACGGACATTGAGTCGTATGTGATGTCTTGTGCCACCTGTGCCAAGGCTCGTCCTAACCCAGCCGAGCCGCTCATCTCGTCCGAGTTCCCATCTCTTCCATGGTCAAAGATCGCGTGTGATCTGTGTGCAGCCAAAGGATCCGCTTACCTAGTTGTTGTCGACTATTTCACTCCTGGGTCATCTGTCCGCCGAAATCGTCGCCACATGCGTGCGTTGCCATCCACGTCAGCTAAACACCCTGATCCCTCCCGCTCACCCTCCTCCATTGAGCCCCTGTATGAGGTTGAGTATGGTGTTCCTATTCCTGTGCATGTTGCCCTGCACCCACCAGCTCACTCTACTCTGCCGCCTCTTCTGCCTGTGCCGCAGTGTCCTCGAGTTGCTAAGCCTCTGCCACCCGGTCGCAGACCACCATCCATCCGTGTTCGCCATGTGCCGCAACGCTATGCTGCCAATACCTGAACACAGTAACACTGTTTACTCCATGTGTTCCAGTTGAACTATGACTGTGTTCTTTTCATGTTTGTTTTTTTCTTCTCTCTATCATTCTGAGTAATGCTCACGTTGGTACCCGCTCCAGAACTGCTATCGTTCCTTTTCCTCTCTTCTTTGCTCCACACTTTCTCGTGTCCCTCCGTTCGCATTTTTTTCGGGGGGAGATGTACAGTCACCTACCTGTGCCTATATATTTGGCATAGTGCATCCATATGTAATTTGACCCCGCTTCCTATTTCACACCTTCGCGTACGCACATGCACCTCGCATGCACCAGCGGTAACTGTTGCGTGCCTGTGCTGTTTACATGCCAACTCTGTTCCCTGTGTTCTCGACTTCTCCTCCTGTCTTCATCAAGTATAGTTTGTAATTCCTACCTGAGTGTGATGGTCGTGTTGGACTGAGAGAGTGTGCATGGGCATTTACCCTTAGTGCTGTTGCAGTAACGCAACACAAGTAACTACCCAGGCCAACGGAACGAAAGGTGAGAATGACGGAGGTACCTAACAATATGATCTGGACAACAATCGATACGAATCGATAAGAATTGACAAAAACAAACAGAAATCAGTGTCGATATCAACACCAAACACAGGCATAACTGGAGTGGTGCTAGCTTCCGAAAATAGCCAGAAAGCGCAGCCAACTCACCTGAATATTCTCAACCCCCCGTGGCAAGTTACCAGGCAGGTCGACACGGCCAGAAATTTGCCTTACAAAGCTCCTGTTGTAGGACTCCCTACCCTCGGGATTATCAGGACGCCACATGTCTACAGCAAGAAAAGGACAACAGTCCAGATATGCTGATGCGATCAACAATGGCAAAAACAAAAAATAACAGTGGCAACGATACCGTCATATGCACAGTGTTGACATACACATAATGTCTCAGAGGAAACATCCATGGTATAGTTGGTAGTAAATAATATTACTTGAGAGCGGTTCTGCATTTCGAAATGGTTCCCGACTATTGCGAGTCAAAATCGGAGGTTCCAAATTTCAATTGCTTATTACTTCCGTCAAGAGTACATAAACCAGAGTGTGCAACTCGGGATGGTTCCTGTGGGAGCGTAATTTGTGCAGTACGTCATTTCTGATGACATCATCGGGTATGCCACAGGTACGGTGAAAGGTTGCGTAACCAGTCACGGTGGTGCAGGTCACTGAGTTTGTCCTGATTTCGGATAGCCTGGTGACTTTACTTGTCGGTGGATGTACGCAGCTTACACAGTCACACAAAAACACCGAAATCCTGAAACAGGATGTCTAAAATCAAGCAAACTTGGCTGATTTCCGGGCTATGAAACACGAAAATTTGAGCTGTACGCAATGCGCGGCTTGGCTGGCCTCATCAGGGTGACGTAGTGCACGAACTACGCTGTTTCAGATCTGATATGCACAGTTGCACACTCTGGTTTATGTACTCTTGCTTCCATTCATCAAAATCCGACTTAAAAGAGTCAACTCTCGAAACCAGTGGCCGAAAGATATTTCCATAATCGAAATATGGGGCCTCTTCATTATTTCATTTTCCAGTCATTTCTGCCAGCACCTACCTTCATCCGGACAACGGATACCCGGGACGACGGTCTTCAAGATCTTTTCTTCGTCGGATGGCGTTCCAGGCTTTGCAGTTTTCGAATCTGATTGGACTGGTTCAGGGCCGGCCACATTGCCAGGCAAAGACGTTGGGAGGTCAGCGACCAGCTCACGATCATCCTTCTCATCCCATGTCGGCTCTGGAGCTGCGCCAGTTTGCTGTTGCTCTGGAGCTGGCTTTTGCTGTTGCTTGGCCTTCTTGGCACCCTTCTTACTCTCTAGCTTAGCCTTCAATAGAGAACAGACAAGAAAAATGCAATGGAAAGGAGTGCTGGAACAGAGCCAAACAGCTGGGAAAGGCAGCCATGGGTCTACTTCCACACAAGACATCTACTGTCAACTGCATCCACTCGCCCGCATCACAAACCAGAGGCAACCCATTCTACCAAGGCTAGCAAGAGTACATAACCCGAGAGGAAATAGGTCTCGACAGCAAGGCATGCACACACACTAAGTGTGTGCCAGTCGTACTTTTTACTGCGTGCCAGCAGTACAGTGCCAGATCGCAACGAAAGTAATTCTCGTTGTTCAGCTATTTTTCTGTGAAAGGTTGACGTAAGTTCATACAACTTCCGTTAGGTCAGGCCGTTACAACCAAATCTTACGGATTTTCGTTGTGCACGATCTCTCTAGTACAATGTCTCAAACTGTCAAATCTTATAATTTTTTCTCTCTTCAGACTTTTCCCATTTGTGTCTTTCCCTCAAACTAGTCGAGATTTTAATATTTTACAAATATAATAGGATTTGTTGAGTATCACCTCCACCACTACATATATAGGATTCTTGATTTTTTTCCAATAATCATGACCATACTGACGCCCGGGAAAAGTTGTGTGCCTATATTGTATTGTAAGGCCGTCATCACACTATGTTTTCTGACTACCGTTTACGTCTACGGTGACAAAATCCAAAACGGGATAATATTCATTATGACAGCCGATCAAACGTGTGTAGACCCATACAAAAACTGGACCTAAGTGGATCCAAAGGTTGTTATTTTACGTTAGATTTTGACTTCTGACGTCATCACTTTCAAGCCCTACTGATTCGGACAGCTCCAAACACCTCAGGAAATTCATTTCGTCAATTTGCATAGGTTGTTTATCGAAATCCTTTAGGCTGCGTTTGTTTTTAGCTACCTGGTAGAATAGAGTAGAGTCACTCTACCGATAGAGGTAGATGGTAGAGGTAAGGGGTCATCCGTAAATATAGATATTTATTTAGAAATGAAAACTAGTCGTTTAGGGGGGGGTTGAGCGCCTGTTCGTATCTCGAAAAATATCGATGTTCATTTTGCACGCATGAGCATGCCCAGAAAAAAAAGATCAAATTATATCGATGCTATGTACAATTAGTACGTGTTCGTTTCTCAGGGAGGGGGAGGCGGTAATATCGGTATTTACGGAAGGCCCCTAAGTGCACGAACGCTGTTCTACCGGATTAGTAGTTTTTCACGTTCTGTACGTGAAATATTTCTCTTCTGTATGGGGTTGTGTACAATTCCTTGATCTGGAAATCCCGTACATCTACCAACTTCTACCGGCTTCTACCAACTTTTCCCTGGTAGAGCCGGTAGAGGAAAGTAGAAATCTACCCTTTTGAGTTGAAAAAAACCGAACACCTCTACCGAAAGAAGTAGTTTCTACCCAAACCTGTAGATCAAAAACGAACGCCCCCTTAGCCTTTAATGGTACGGTACGGGACAGGTACGGGTTAGCTCCAGGCGTGACACAAATAAACAAACAAACAAACAAATACCAAACTAAAGCTGTGTGGACCCTGGCTAGCGCCAGACGTTACTGAAGTAACGTCTTCTGCATAGCTACGGGAATAAAATCGAGATACCCCGGCAGGACCCATGTGAAATTGGTGCGGGCGGGCGAATTTTTATTTACTTATTTATTTTTCCTATGTATGTATGTATGTATGTATGCGCATGCCATGCTGAGATTCTTTTTTACAATATTTTCCAGTAATTTTAATTTTTTATTCATTATTTTACAGACAACAGATACATGGTTTACCACGATTCAATTTTTCTGTATAACTTTTCGGCCAACGATGGTCCTGATCTGTACATCAGGGAGTCGTACACGCCCGGGTTTGTGTGACTGCACATCACAGATCTAGTCACATGACCAGTACTGTACATGTAAATGTTTGTATATGAACTGTTAAGAAATAAAAATAAATTGGCTTTGTAAGGAAAAAAATTGGAGGCGTATCCAATTTCGAAAGAAAAGGTGACAGCACCGACGCAATCCACACAGTCAAGTAAGCCAATTTGGTAACCGAAAGTTTTCGCTCCCTTCTCATCATGGGTAAGTACAGGGAATACTGGAAAAAATGTCAAAATACAGCAACTTATAGAGCTACAGCAAAAGCATAGATAGAGAACCTCACGCTGAACGTGTGGACAAAAATAACATTCAGCAGAACAGGTCAAACACAGGGTGAAGGTGAAGAAATATGTGGGCTTTGCGCAGCAAAGCCTAGTTAGCCCATGCACACGCATGCTGGTGATGGAGCGCTGCGAGTGCGTGTCACGTGACCATCTCGTGATTAAACCACGGGCGCCGCGTGTGGCCTGGCAAAATTTTATGGACAATCGTGGATCCGGCGTCTAATCCGCGATATTCATGTTAAAACAAAATGGCGTCATGATTTATTGAAAGTGGTATAGTTGGTGGTACGAGTGTTCAAAACCATTTGAACTTCATACTGTTAGTCTTCTTTTTGACATGCTCTCTTTCCATCGTCCTTAGCTTTTGTTTGTTGAGAGCTGTTTTGGCTTTCTCCTATACCTCTGGGGGATGCCAAGTGATGGTTTTGAGAGGCTGGTGATGGCTGTGAGCGAGAGTTTGCCGATCGGCGTCGTCCTCGCTATAGCGATGAAAATACTAGTTACTGCGCACCTGGCAGATATCACAACACGTTGGAGCGTCCAGGAGCAAAGAAATCTTGGGTTTTCACTGGAATCTAGCTCCTCCAGCATCGTGTAGCCCACCGTCGGTGAATGGCGGTCCAGAAAGGTCGAACCTGGTCTTCTGAAGCATCTCGCAGTCCTGCGAGGCACACTGAATACGCCTGTCATGTATTCTACAAATAAAAATCACGAAGTAGTGGACTTTACAGTGATAAGTCTATCCTGGCAATTTGCGCACCCTCGATGGGTTGTCTGCTGGTTTAGCCCTCGACGGGCGGTTTGCTGGCCGCGGCGGCCATTTGAGCGCCCTCGGTGGGCAGTATACTAGTTTACCCCTCGGCGGGCGGTTTGCTGGCCTCGGCGGCCATGTGTGCGCCCTCGGTGGGCAGTATGCTAGTTTAGCCCTCGGCGGGCGGTTTGCTGGCCTCGGCGGCCATTTGCGCACCCTCGGTGGGCAGTATGCTAATTTAGCCATGCCACCGCTGACGGCATTGCCTGGCTCCACTGGTGCGCATCGGTTTCGCGTCTGACGTGGAAGCAACTGTAGCGGCTGCAGTGACAGCTATGCCACCGCTGACGGCATGGCCTGGTGCCATGTGCGCAATAAAGCCTTGGTGGAAATTCGCAGGCATTGCACTCTGAGCGCCGGTAGGCTGGTGAGGCACCTGTGGCTTCGATGAGGGCATTAGAGCCTGCAGCACGCAAAAACATCATCAAGGCACGTGCATGAATAAACCATCGCACAAAACATGCCAATCCTACATACAGCGTAGTGTGAAAAGGCCAAGACGCCCAGGCCAGCCCGAGTATGTTACCAAAACTAAGGAGGTGTTCGAGTTACCCAGTCAAGTTCGGAGAAACATCTAAGAAAGAAAAGAGGAGTTCAAATGTCCAACAAACGGTTGCTGTTAGTCTTGTCATTTTCATTAGAATTGTCGTAGCAATGCGATACTCTCAAAGTGAAAAAACAAAAATCAAAAAAATGAGTACAAAGCTGGTACACTAGACCAGCTCGGATCAGTACTAGATCCACTCCCTAGACTAGCGGATATTTGCTTTCGGAAGATCGTCACAAGAAAGAAAAAAACAAACATCCAGCAGGGTTTGCATCATTTCCAGGGCCAGTGCAGGACGGGCAGCGCAAGTCCATGCTGCCATTTCAGAAGCACTTGCGGTCGGAATTCACCTAACACGATCACACAACTGGTAGCTTCACTGAGTCAAAGGCTGGTGTCAAAGGCTGGTAGTGTGCAGCTCATAAGGCTGCACGCCTCATTTACATGTACTAGCACTGTGCAACGTGGTCGCGGGCGGGTGGTCGTCGGTCGCGTTGAGCGAGTGGTCGCCTTTGTACTTATGTACAGCTTGGTGTCCTTTCCTACAGAAAAGCGTCACCAGGCAGTTAGTCATGCTCAGCGCTTGGTCGTACCAGTAACAACGCTCAGGCAAGGGATTGAATGAGAGCACAACTAACACCAAGAGTACATACCCCCCCCCCCCCCCCAGAGTGTGCAACGCCTGATCCAACTCTGCATAGGGTCTTTGTCGAGAGGAATCGGATCTTTGCGTCATAATACCAAGAGTTCATAACCCCCAAGAGTGTGCAACTCCTGATCAGTCCCTGTATGGAAGCCCGCTCGGCGGAATTCCTTCATTGCGTCATTTTTGGTGCAGTGCGATGAGTCACGTCGATGAATTATTCTAAAATTTACAGTCAAACCAGGATGCTTCCCCAGCGCAAACTGCCTAAACTGTGATTCTAGTCTGAGCCTCAAGAAGCAAAAGTAAAACAAAGCACACCCTAAAGACAAAACTATTTATTTTTTCGATGCAATGGTGACTCTTCATCGCATTCTTCTTTCCCCAGTGCAGGCAGTCTCTTCAAGAACAATTTCTTCCCCAGGCCATCGGCATATTTCCGGTGCTTTCCTCGAAGATGATTTCAAATGGTTGAGGAACTTGAGAGAATACGTCGAAGGAGCAGTTTTCGGCTGAGTTGCACAGCTATCAGAATGATTGTCCTCGACGGCAATGCAATATTTTTAACAGCCTCCTCACTTCTTCCTGTCGCGATGTCCATGGATTCTTGGAGAAAGAGTTTGTTTTTGAGAAAGTACGACTTGGACGTACGTCCGAAATGTCTTCAAATAAAGCTTCAAAAAGTCGAGGCTACAGCCTTGAGTTAGGAGCAGTTCAGGGCATAGTTTCCAGAAATCGCAAAGAACCCAAATTTACCTCGGACGACAAGCTGCGCATGACATCATGTAGGAATTTCGCCGAGCGCTGGGTCTATGCCCGTTGCACACTCTTGGGGGTTATGAACTCTTGATAATACCGTACACATCTGAGGGGAACCCGGGGAGTCGCGGGTACTCTTCGATCAAAAACAACGGTGCCCTGCCTCAAGACCGGCCTTGCGCTAGTGTGGTGTGTACGCATGACATCAGAAGATCCGACTATGCTCGACAAAGACCCTATGCAGAGCTGGATCAGGCGGTGCACACTCTGGGGGGTTATGTACTCTTGCTAACACCTACTCACCGCTGCTGTCGTGTCCATCTGGAGTGTGACCGTTTTGCGCGAAGACTGTGACGAGACGCTGCTTCGGCTGGTCCGGCCTTGCCGGCCACCAGACGAGCCTCGGCCACCTTGCGACGGAGGCGGGGGAACGGATCTAAAGAGAACAAAAGAGAAAGATGACCGCGGTAAGTGGAGACTCCCCGGCGGCTGTATTGATGATTGAAATGATAATTGATAATGATACAGTGCTAAAGATACACAAGGCGATTTGATGTTCGACACTGTAATCATCTCATCTTCGGAACAGTGGAGCTTCAGTATAATGTGTCATCAGTGCTTCAGGGCCTCTCTTGTGACGGGTGTACATGGTAGAACTATGGTACTTGTACATGTCTCAACAACATGGTAGAACTAGTATTATGATCCGGATGTTTGTGTTTGCATGTGTCGGTGCACGAATGGGAGGGAGGGACGGAGAGAGAAAGAAAAAAGAGGGAGAGAGTGAGAGAGAGAGAGAGAGAGAGAGTGTGAGAGAGAGAGAGAGAGAGAGAGAGAGAGACAGCGAGAGCGTGAGAGAGAACGAGACAGCGAGAGCGCGCGCGCGCGCGCGCGAGAGAGAGAGAGAGAGAGAGAGAGAGAGAGAGAGAGAGAGAGAGACAGAGAGAGAGACAGAGACAGAGAGAGAGAGAGAGAGAGAGAGAGAGTAAGTTACATTTTAAAAGACAGGTAAGTCTAACAAATGAGGACTGAGACCTCTACAACAGGGTTTTCACGCTTGAAAGCAGGTGCATGATTTAACAAGCAGGTTGTCAGTCTAGATTTTATGCGCAGATGGAGAAAAAGCGCAGAATTTTTGTAATGAGATGAAAAGCAGAAATAATAAGAAATAATAAGAAAAGATGAAATGAAAGCCTGCTCACAACCCCGCCCAGCCTTGCGAACTGGGTATGGTGGGTTAAGAACCTGGTTCAACGCTCCAGCAAGCGCTCTCCACTCAAGGTGTTCACAGCAACTGATAGGAACTCATATGGGGAAATTATAGAAAAGAAATAAAAAGATAAAGAGATTAAATTTCAACGCACCCTCAATAAACGGAGCCCCACATACAGTACCTCAGAAAAGTGGATCTTCCGACCAGTGTTTTTGTTGACGTCGCAACCAGATGATGTAGCTGCTTCGCAGAGACGTCTTACTGCACAAATTACAAATAAATTTTATTCTTCGATTAGAAAACCCAAGCGCTTTCAGAGCCCTCCGAAGAGAGTCCGGGATGAAACCATGCACACCTACCTCAACCGAAAAAGAAACGACCTGCCACCCGTTTGCTCGGCATTGATCGGCCAGATCCGCATACCGCATGTCCTTCCGCGAGTTACTGACACTGAATCTGTCCTCAGCACAAACTGTCAACTCCATCCAGAATACAATCCTACGACTCGTAGAGTACAGAACTATATCTGGTCTTAGGGTGGTAAGTGCAACACAGCTAGGAAAGAAATCTTTGCACTAACTGTGTCGACAAGAAGTTTCCAGTCTGAGGCCGCTGCCAGGAGATCAGGCTTAACCAACTTCCGTCTGGGCTGAACGCGAACTGGCTTCTCTCCCGCCTTGCAAAACGAGATGAAGTCAAGCTCATTTGAATTTTCGGTTTGTACGGTGTTTGCAGCAGTGCGGATTTGAATCTCCTCACGCATGTTCCTGACGATGACCCCGAGAACGTTGTCGTGCCTCCAGGTGTAACGTCCCTGGTCCAGCGCTACGCGACAAGCGCCAAGCACGTGGCGCGTAGTACAGGCCCAGGCACGGCACAATTTACAGTACGGATCCACTACGGCGTTTCCCCAACGGCGTAGGTTCGTCGGAGAAGGTAGCACGTCGAGGGTTGATGCGAGAAGAAATTTCAAATCCTTACCAGTACCACCATACAAAAGGGATCTCCACGAGAGGTCCTGCCACATCACCGATGTCCACTCCAACCACTTGCCTTGCACCTGAAGAGTCTTCAGCCTCAAAATCTGCTCCTGCGCGTTGATCTCCTCAAATGTTTGAAGGAGATCCTTCCTCGGGGGTTTGGAATGCTGTTTCGGAGCACGAGCACCCAACCCTGCACGATGACTTGAAGATGACGGTGGATGGAGAGTCCCTGAACCTACTGATGCCTCTGCACACTCCAGCTCTATTGTCGCCGCATGTCGCTTTGTCAGCTTCGCATCCTTACTCCGACGCAGAGTGTACAGCGCCCTCATGCGCGCGTCAGAGTGTACAGCGCCCTCATGCGCGCGTCCCCACTCGATCGAAGAATGTGCCATTTGATGGACTGGCACTTTTTCCACACCGTAGGAAGGTAGTGGAGGCGTAAGCCAAAGCGTTTGCGACTGCCAATAAAAAGAATGGCAGAGTTTGCGCATCGAGGTAGGCCTGACCATTTCTTCAGAAATGGCAAACACATAAAGTGCAGTTCACGTACAAAACCTTGTGTGAGTTCAAGAACCTGGAAAGACCAAGAAAGCTTGGGCACTACAAGATGGTGGTAAAGCCATAGCTTGTGGTGGTCTTGAAGCCAAGAGCCATCTACTTTTTGCATGAGAGATACAGTGAGTTGACGGATGTCTTCCCGCTGGGTCTGCTCAGAGCAATCAGCATGCAGCCTTCGCCCCAGGAACTTGAACTCTGCAGTGTCAATGAAAGCGATCTTCCTCCCTGACATCGTCAGGCAGGGATCGTAAGGTTTGTACCGGCCATCTACAAGCTTTGCTGCACTGCTTTTGCATTTGTGCGGCGCCGCCTGCATACATTGGGTCCACGAGAGAAAGTCCTCCGTGACCGCAATGAGTTTTTGACAACCTGCACTAGATTTGCTATAGAGGCCTAAGTCATCAGCAAAAGCTGTTTGGGACACTTGCAAAGGGGCAGATTTAAAATCATAGGAGAGGCAACTTAATTCAGGGGCTGCAAGTGAGTCCAGCAGAAGCTGGAAACAAATATTGAAAAGGACCGGGGACAAGGAGAGAGAGAGAGAGAGAGAGAGAGAGAGAGAGAGAGAGAGAGAGAGAAGAGAAGAGGAGAGAGAGAGACAGACAGACAGAGAGAGACAGACGGAGGAGAGAGAGAGAGAGAGAGAGAGAGAGAGAGAGAGAGAGAGAGACAGAGAGAGAGAGAGAGACAGAGAGAGAGAGAGACAGAGAGACAGAGAGACAGAGAGAGAGAGAGACAGAGAGAGAGAGAGAGAGAGAGAGAGAGAGAGAGAGAGAGAGAGAGAGAGAGAGAGAGAGAGAGAGAGAGAGAGAGAGAGAGGAGAAGAGAGACAGAGAGACAGAGAGAGACAGAGAGACAGAGAGACAGAGAGAGAGAGGAGAGAGAGAGAGAGAGAGAGAGAGAGGCACAGAGAGACAGACAGAGCATACTCATACTCACGATTCTCCACTCTGATCTTGATGGGATTTGGGATTCGGAGACTGCAGAGAAACTGCAGAAGCTGCAGCAAATGAAAGACGCTGCAGAGAAAGCAGTGGGAAAAAGGAATACTACGTCTAAATGGAACATATGAACTGGACAACAATCGATACGAATCAATAAGAATTGACGAAAAACAAGCAAAAGTCAGTGTCGATATCAACACCAAACACAGGCATAACTGGAGTGGTGCTAGCTTCAGAAAATAGCCAGAAAGCGCAGCCAACTCACCCGACTAATCTCAACCTCCACTGGCAAGTTAGCAGGCAGGTCGGCGTAACCAGAAAATTGCCTTAAATAGATCCCGTCGTAGGACTTCCTACCCTCGGGATTATCAGGACGCCACATGTCTACAGCAAGAAAAAGACAACAGTCCAGATATGCTTATGCAATCAACAATGACAAAAACAAAATGACAGTGGCAACGATGCCATCATATGCACAGTGTTGACATACACATAATGTCTCAGAGGAAACATCCATGGTATAGTTGGTAGTAAATCAAGTTAATCAACTTGAGAGCGGTTCTGCATTTCGAAATGGTTCCCGACTATTGCGAGTCAAATTCGGAGGTTCCGAATTTCAATTGCTTATTACTTCCGTCAAGAGTAGATAAACCAGAGTGTGCAACTCGTGATGGTTCCTGTGGGAGCGTAATTTGTGCAGTACGTCATTTCTGACGACATCATCGGGTACGCCACAGGTACGGTGAAAAGTTGTGTAACCAGTCACGGTGGTGCAGGTCACTGAGTTTGTCCTGATTTCGGTTTTTTGAGACGGATAGCCTGGTGACTTTACTTGTCGGTGGATGTACGCAGCGTACACAGTCACACAAAAACACCGAAATCCTGAAACTGGACGTCTAAAATCAAGCAAACTTGGCTGATTTCCGGGCTATGAAACACGAAAATTTGAGCTGAACGCAATTCGTGGCTTGGCTGACCTCATCACGGTGACGTAGTGCACGAACTACGCTGTTTCAGATCTGATATTCACAGTTGCACACTTTGGTTTATGTACTCTTGCTTCCATTCATCAAAATCCGACTTAAAGGAATCAACTCTTGAAACCAGTGGGCGAAAGATATTTCCAAAATCGCAATATAGGGCCTCTTCATTATTTCATTTTCCAGTCATTTCTGGCAGCACCTACCTTCATCTGGATAACGGATGCCCGGGACGACGGTCTTCAAGATCTTTTTTTCGTCGGATGGCGTTCCAGGCTTTGCAGTTTTCGAATCTGATTGGACTGGTTCAGGGCCGGCCACATTGCCAAGCAAAGACGTTGGGAGGTCAGCGACCAGCTCACGATCATCCTTCTCATCCCATGTCGGCTCTGGAGCTGGCTCAGTTTGCTGTTGCTCTGGAGCTGGCTTTTGCTGTTGCTTGGTCTTCTTGGCACCCTTCTTACTCTCTGGCTTAGCCTTCAATAGAGAACAGACAAGAAAAATGCAATGGAAAGGAGTGCTGGAACAGAGCCAAACAGCTGGGAAAGCCAGTCATGGGTCTACTTCCACACAAGACATCTACTGTCAACTGCATCCACTCGCCCGCATCACAAACCAGAGGCAACCCATTCTACCAAGAGTACATAACCCGACAGGAAACAGGTCTCGACAGCAAAGGCATGCACACACACTAAGTGTGTGCCAGTCGTACTTTTTACTGCGTGCCAGTACAGTGCCGGATCGCAACGAAAGTAATTCTCGTTGTTCAGCTATTTTTCTGTCAAAGGTTGACGTAAGTTCATACAACTTCCGTTAGGTCAGGCCGTTACAACCAAATCTTACGGATTTTCGTTGTGCACGACCTCTCTAGTACAATGTCTCAAACTGTCAAACCTTATAATTTTTATAAATATAGGATTTGTTGAGTATCACCTCCACCACTACCGTATTTTTATTTTTGCAAAGGTGGTCAGACCTGTACTACTATAGGAGACTGTTCTAGTATTGGAGACATGTACTTTTATTGTTTCTGGAAAGATTGATTGCCTGGGTTGGGTGGCAAACAACTCGTGATAATGATGCTGTAAGGCTGCAAATACACCCAACCATGGTAAGAATCAGTGTACAAAGACACAATGACGATGAACGGGTAAGAAAAACGAAGTAAGGCGGACCCTGGTATCTGTACCCCACTAATGCCCATCACATCATTCCGGCATGTACTATTATTAGAGACGTGTCCTTTTATATTTTCGATCCACACCCAACATGTACTACAATTGGGGACGTACTAGTAATGGAGACAGACAGACGTGGGGAAAATACGGTACATTTTAAGATTTTTGAACTTTTTCCAATAATCATGACCATACTTCCGCCCGGGAAAAGTTGTGTGCCTAACTTGTCTTGTAGGGCCGTCATCACACTATGTTTTCTGACTACCGTTTACGTCTATGGTGACAAATCCAAAACGGGATACTATTCATTATGACAGCCTATCAAACGTGTATGGACTCATACAAAAACTGGACCTAAGTGGATCCGAAGGTTGTTATTTGTCGTTAGATTTTGACTTCTGACGTCATCACTTTCGAGTCCTACTGATTCGGACAGCTCCAAACACCTCATGAAACTCATTTCATCAACTTGCATAGGTTGTTTATCGAAATCCTTTAGGCTGCGTTTGTTTTTAGCTACCTGGTAGAGAAGAGTAGAGTTACTCTACCGATAAAGGTAGATGGTAGAGGTAAGGGGCCATCCGTAAATATAGATATTAATATACACTCAATCTGCGGACAGCATGCTGTTTCGTTCTTTTTGAACTCATCAGCCCAGCACAGAGGAAATGAGGCCGAACCTATTAATATTAATATTAATAATTAAACCAGTCAATATTTTATGACTTGGGGCTCCCCGCGTACTAGTTTGTACGTGAAGTGTGTGGGTTACAGTGAGGGCTGCGTCCCACCCGCCTGTGTGGATTCACAAGAAGTGTGAGTTACGAAGTCTGAAGAAAATGTTGAACGGCCTCTGCTGGGATGACGACTACACCATAGCTCAGTGGTTAGAGCATCGCTGGCTACAAGCGAAGGTCCCTGGTTCGAGTCCTGGTGGTGACAGTCAATTTTTCTTCAGACTTTTCCCGTTTGTCTCTTTCCCTCAAACCAGTCAATATTTTATGACTTGGGGCTCCCCGCGTACTAGTTTGTACGTGAAGTGTGTGGGTTACAGTGAGGGCTGCGTCCCACCCGCCTGTGTGGATTCACAGGAAGTGTGAGTTACGAAGTCTGAAGAAAATGTTGAACGGCCTCTGCTGGGATGACGACTACACCATAGCTCAGTGGTTAGAGCATCGCTGGCTACAAGAGAGGGTCCCTGGTTCGAGTCCTGGTGGTGACAGTCAATTTTTCTTCAGACTTTTCCCGTTTGCCTCTTTCCCTCAAACCAGTCAATATTAATAATTAACCTATTAATATTAATATACAGGTAGACTCCCTTTAATTCGAACCTCAAATTGCCAGGCCCTAACTTCGAATTATCCAGAACTTCTAATTATCCAAATGCAGCGCAGCGCCATGCACTGATATGTATGTCAAAATGCTTGAAATCGCAGGCTGAATATTGTTTGCACATTTTTATTTTTACATATAGGTACGGGTCATGTACAACGGTCCACGGATCATCAAAACACTGGATCGACACAAAATCATTTTGACATTATCTTCATCTCCTAGTGAAGAAGTTGTCAGTCACTGCAGCTTTCCTGAAACAATTTCAACGGAAAAGAACTGCGCTGCCTAATCCGCGTCATGAAAGGCCGTTGGACAGCAGCACGTCGTTCTGAAGAACGGAAGTGGAGCAAAGGCATAGACAATATTTACGACAATAGTGTTGTTGTGCGCCAAAATCTCCGCGCACGAGCTGGCGCGGTAAGAAAGGCCATCGAGATCCGCGAAGAGAGTCACCCACCTGGAAGAAGTTGTCTTCAATCAAACCTTTGCAATTTGCCTCGCACGGGCTTGAATCAAATTTCGAGAGAAGGTGGGTTTCTTGAACGCTATTGTCGATTCTGCAGCGGACCATCGATCGATTTTTGAGCTACTCTTGGCTAGAGAAGGAGAAAAGAATGAACTTCGAATTACAAGGATAGCAACTCAATCTCACTTCGAAATAAGCGTTCAAAGGACATAGCCAATGTACTGTAAACAGCTCTTCTGTACGAAGACTGGGTTCGAATTATCCAACCGGCGCACTTTTCGTACTTCGAATTATGCATTCGATTTCGACTTGAAGTGACTTGTAGAAGATCGGTACGACGAAAAAGTTCGAATTACACGGAATGTTCGAATTACAGTGGTCCCTCTATAATCCGGCACCATTTGTGCCACGAAAATCTGCTGGATTAGGGAGGGTGCTGGATTAACAAATCTGATTTACTGCTGCAATGTACATGAAGAGGACATTTTGGCTACTGAAAATTGTGCTGGTTTGTCGAGGGTGCTGGATTATAAAGTGCCGGATTAGAGAGGGACGACTGTATACCGTATTTGAATTAGAGGGAGTCTACCTGTATTTAGGCGACCAAAATAAAATCGAGATTCCCGGGCAGGACCCATGTGAAATTGGTGCGGGCGAATTTTTATTTATTCATTTATTTTTCCTATGTATGTATGTGCATGCCATGCTGAGATTCTTTTTTAAAATATTTTCTAGTAATTTTAATTTTTTTATTCATTATTTTACAGACAACAGATACACGGTTTACCACGATTCAATTTTTCTGTATAACTTTTAGGCCAACGATGGTCCTGATCTGTACATCAGGGAGTTGTACAAGCCTGGGTTTGACTGCACGTCACAGATCTACTCACATGACCAGTACTGTACTGTAAGTGTTTGTATATGAACTGTTAAAAAATAAAAATAAATTGGCTTTGGCTCGATTTTGGTGCGGGAGGGCCCGGGAATCTCTAGTTTTTTGTGGTCTTGCCTTTGAAACGAAAACTAGTCGTTTAGAGGGGGGGGGGGTTGAGCGCCTGTTCGTTTCTCGAAAAATATTGATGTACATTTCGCACGCGTGAGCATGCCTAGAAAGGAGAGGGAGAGGGGTTGAAGAAAAGCGACTAGTTTTCGTTTCTAAATAAATATCGGCATTTACGGAAGGCACCGAAGGGGGCATTTGTTTTTGATCTACAGGTTTGGGTAGAAACTACTTCTTTCGATAGATGTGTTTGTTTTTTGAAAAACTTTCTACTCCAAACCGTAGATTCTACTTTCCTCTACCGGCTCTACCAGGAAAAAGTTGGTAGAAGCCAGTAGAAGTTGGTAGAGCTACGGGATTTCCAGCAAGATCAAGGATTCGTACACAACTCCATACAGAAGAGAAACATTTCACGTAGATATCGTGTAAACTACTAAATCTGGTAAAACAGCGTTCGTGCACTTACCTCCACCATCTACCTCTATCGGTAGAGTAACTCTACTCTACCAGGTAGTTAAAACGAACGCAGCCTTGGTGCATGAACGCTGTTCTACCGGATTAAGTAGTTTTTCACGTTATGCACGTGAAATGTTTCTCTTCTGCATGGGGTTGTGGACAATTCCTTGATCTGGAATTCCCGCACATCTACCAACTTCTACCGGCTTCAACCAACGTTTTCCTGGTAGAGCCGGTAGAGGAAAGTAGAATCTATCCTTCAGAGTAGAAAAAACGAACACCTCTACCGAAAGAAGTAGTTTCTACCCAAACCTGTAGATGAAAATCGAACGCCGACTTAGCCAAAAACTAGTGGTGAACGAATATCAAAACTCCTCTCAGTCATTTGATTGGATATTGTCACTATTGTAAGGCATGACAAACGAAGGCACATATTTCTCCATCATTTCTAGGTCAACTTTCACAAAGTCCGCAGCTGAAGAGCATTTTACATGTTCAAAAACGCTTGAGACGTGATTTTTCGTTCGATCGCCATAACTGCTTTCCAGGACCTCAGATCGCGTTCGGGTTGGTCGAGACGGTAGCTGAGAGTTTTCTAATGCCGATAGACTTTCGATGAAGCGATTCGGTCAAGTATTCGCGAAGTTACGGAAGTTTTGAAGTCGCCCGGTAAACTCTGCATACCGGGTTAACGAATTTTAGCCATGAGAAATATTCGTTCAAATGTGACAAGCCGAACGAATATTCGAATATTCGGTATATTCGTTTCACCACTACCAGAAACCAAATCCTACAGTTTTTGCTGGTGACAATGTTAACAGATACATGTAATGGCACCTCCTAACCTCCTCTCGGGCTGGCTTGTCCTTATAGCCAGTCAACGGGTCAGAATCAGGAAGTTCCCGGTGGCGGAAGCTCTTGGCACTTTTGCCCTTGGACACTTCACACACACACACACACACACACACACACACACACACACACACACACACACACACACACACACACACACACACACACACACACACACACACACACACACACACACACACACACACACACACACACACACACACACACACACACACACACACACACACACACACACACACACACACACACACACACACACACACACACACAAACGCACACACAAACACGCACACACACACACACGCGGTAAGGAAAAATGAACATTCAAGTGCCAGTAATAGCCATACGAATACATACACACATCCACCGGAAACAAACTCTCTGACAGCTAGGCAAAGTTAACATGTGCCGTATTCCAGTACTGCCTGGTGCCAAAGAACAGACTTGTAGATTAGGCTGTTCTCATTTTTCATGTACATATCTATACTCAGTAGATGGCTGAGCCACCATGTACAGACAAGTATCCTGTGCCTGGTAAAATTCTAGCCAGTCCGCTCTGTACGGTCTGTACATACTGGTACAAGCATCGAACCAATGGGACCGACGGGATAGGCATTTACAATTTACCAGAACTTTGCCAAATCTTGGTCTTTTGGAGATCGAAATGTGTAGGTCGAAGAGAAAACCTGCGTATGTTTGCGAAGTGTATTGGGGGAATGAAGGCAGTTGTTTAGTTTCATTGAGAACTGCTGCGCTGACAACTCCAGTGAATTTGGTCTCAATCTAGATTGACCTAACAAGCCAACTTCCTAGGTAAAACATACTGGGCCACACAGCCAAATATGTCCTTACCTCTAACCATCGGCTCCGGGGAATCAGCCGGAGAACCAGGCGGAGAGCCAGCCGGGGATTGGTCCGGTGACTGCTGTGTACTCCTCTCCTCATGCGTGGCAGCGTCCGACATTGTGGCACAGGCAGTGGCCGGAGAACAATCCTTCAGAAAGACAGTAGTCCGTGGTAGAAAACCAGGCTTCACATCCGATTGCATGTTTTTCTTGCCTGCCACAACTGCACGAGGTGCCCCACGGGCATACAGTGCAGCGCCACCGATTGGACTGGACATTTGGCGAGGATCAGTGGACGTAGTCTGTGTTGTGGCACGACGCTCCCTAGTCTTGGCACCCATTGCTTCGTCAGACTTTGACTTTGACACCTCGGCCGACTTCGCAATCGGCGCCTTGCTAGGCTTTGAAGCCGGCGCCTTGCTAGGCTTTGAAGCCGGCGCCTTGCTAGGCTTTGAAGCCGGCGCCTTGCTAGGCTTTGAAGCCGGCGCCTTGGCAGACTTCACAGCCGGTACCACAGCATCATACACAACCGACGCATAAGAAGGCTTCGCATTTGCCACCCCAGCAGACTTTACAGCCAGTGTCTCAGTGGACTTCTCAGCTGGTGCCTCGGCAGACTTCGAGGCCGGCGCCTCAGCAGATGTTACAGCTGGCGCCTCAGTGGACTTCCCAGCCGGCGCCTCAGCAGACTTTGCAATCGGTACCTCTGCAGATTTCGCAACCCACTCATTACCGGTAGGCTTCTCAGCAGACTTCGCAGCTGGCGCCTCAGCAGACTTCGCAGCCGACGCCTCGGCAGACTTTGCAGTCGACACCTCTGCAGGCTTTGCAGCTGAAACCTCGGCCGACTTTCCAGCCGATGCCTCTGTGGATGGCTTGTCCGACACCACAGATGCCGCTGTGATGGACTTGGCGGCAGAGCCCTCAGCGGATTCAGAGGTCCATACCACTGTAGCCTTGGCTGCAGGAGCATTGCTGCTGCTGCTACTGCTACGCCTCATACCGGTGGCGGGTGGATCCGTTTTGGATCTGGCTCCACTGGTGCGCATCGGTTTCGCGTCTGACGTGGAAGCAACTGCAGCGGCTGCAGTGACAGCGATGCCACCGCTGACGGCATTGCCTGGTGCCATGTGCACAGTAAAGCCTTGGTGGAAATTCGCAGGCATTGCACTCTGAGCGCCGGTAGGCTGGTGAGGCACCTGTGGCTTCGTTGAGGGCCTTTGAGCCTGCAGCACGCAAAAACATCATCAAGGCACGTGCATGAATAAACCATCGCACAAAACATGCCAAACCTACATACAGCGTAGTGTGAAAAGGCCAAGACGCCCAGGCCAGCCAAAGTACATTACCAAAACTAAGGAGGTGTTTGAGTTACCCCTGTCAAGTTTGGAGAAACATCTAAGAAAGAAAAGAGGAGTTGAAGTGTCCAACAAACGGTTGCTGTTAGTCTTGCCATTTTCATTAGAAATGTCATCGCAATGGGATATTCTGCCATGCAACTCAAAGTGAAAAAAAAACAAAAATCCAAAAATGAGTACAAAGCTGGTACACTGGACCAGCTCCGATCAGTACTACATCCACTCCCTAGACTAGCGTCTATTTGCTTTTTTGGAAGATCGTCACAAGAAAGAAAAAAACAAACATCCAGCAGGGTTCGCATCACTTCCAGGGCCAGTGCAGCACGGGCAGCGCAAGTCCATGCTGCCATTTCAGAAGCACTTGCGGTCGGAATTCACCTAACACGATCACACAACTGGTAGCTTCACTGAGTCAAAGGCTGGTGTCAAAGGCTGGTAGTGTGCAGCTCATAACCAAGAAGTAAACATTTCAGTAGGTGGACTCCCCACATCTGAGCACTCATATGTACCTACCAAGCGCCTTTCTCACCCCTCTGTGCGTCATTAAAATCGGCATCTCAACGAAAAACACCAAGAAATATTGATCGGCACCCAAATAGTAAGGAGCCGTCCATAAATATCGATATCTTATTAGGATTGAAGAAATTACTTCCTCCGCGTCATCGAAATTGTCGCAATTTGACTTTTGATATAAAACGGGGTATTTACTCACCAGCACTCGCACCAGATGCAAGGAATCGGACATAGGCGATAGTCATCAGTATAGGGTGACGGCAAAGTTCTATTTTCTGTTATTGGAAGCTGAAATCTTTGAACTAGACGCAATTTCTTCGCTGATGTCGCTGCGATGGTAATTTCGACTCGCTGAGATCATTCAGGCATTGCAGCCTGCACATTTCTCGTGCTTATGGCCATTCACTCAAAGCCTCATCACTGTTTTACCTTAGCTGGGTGAGAATGACTTCGTGAAACAAGTGGCAGCGCTTGGACACACTTGGAGAAACATCAAGGGGTCAGCAAACTAAATGCATGCAACAGCGATAAAATCTGTCGCTCTGGCTGAGACACTCAGTACATGATTGTACCATTAAGAGCCGTGTAGAGTCTACACGTAGTGCTAGTGATGCACGCGCAGGTGCCGTACCAGTGATGCTGAAAAAGAGGGTGCGCTGGACGTGATAGTACACTTACCTGCATGAGCTGTGACCACACAGCTAAAATAATTGGGCATGCCACGGCTAAAAACAGTTCATTTCAAGATCGAGGTGATTCCGCCGACCGTAATCAACCGACCTCGCAACGATCGTGTGTATTCTTACTTCGTTGGTGGTGAAGTAGAAATCATCCAGGGCTAGCAGATGACAAGCATAGCAGCTCGTGTCCTGTGGAGAAAGTCAAAGCGTTTGAGATGAGGCGCGACCAACTTACAGCCTTCCTTGAAATATTTCGGAACGATATTTTTTGCGTCCATTGACATCAGCGACGACGAGGCCTTCATCTCTGCGTGAAAACTCTCAGTCCAACTGTCCTGGAACGTTACTCTAGCCTTCAGACTATCATACTGTGTAATAAGTTTTGAATGGTTTAGCTTATGGAGTTGTCAGTAACAAGTGACAAGTCACTAGTCAAACTGCAACAATTTCGATGACGCGGAGGAAGTACGTGGAAACAGAAAAAAATACGCGCTCTGGGGCGAAATAGTGCGGAGCGCGATGAATTTGTTTGGTGCGGACGAGAGCTCCGAGACCACCACAGATTCCGTAGCAAATAGACATTGTGTAGGAAGGGTCGGAGCAATGTTCAAACACAGAAAACAGCGATTCCGACACACCGACTAAGACAAGCAAGTCACAAACACTGCGATGTGCGAAGCGACAATTTTAATGACGCTGAGGAAGTAATATTTGTGGTATGGAGCATGCATGCATTCCATTATGACAAGAACTGTGCACAATAAGAACAGGAAATCTTCGAGGAGACAAAATGTTTATTAATCGGTCACCAGTGGAATTTACAGAAGTTAAAGGGTAAACGGTGAACAAACACCGGCTAAGTAGTCGTGCGGTGACACAATAGACATATAAGGGCTGCTGATCAACGTGATGAAACAATTTGAAAAGAAAAGGCACGTAAACGAAGTCGTGATCATACACGGCAAGGTGTAGAAGAACAAGAAGAGCGAGTTTACGAATATAAGCGTAATGCAATAACGTGTTCCTTCTGTTTGAACAAATCAGGCTTGTGCATACGAACACAAACCGCTTCAAGAACTGATTGACATAGCAGGCACGACTAAGTACAGGGAAACACAAGTCCTCCTACACGCTAAAACAGGATGGGACACCAAATGCAAGTGTACAGCTGACTTCTTAGTGACAATACACTCATCTGGCTCCTCCTGCTCCTTCCCGCCCGACTCGTGATCAACCATCTCACCGCCACCTGCATCCTCCGTTTTTCCTTCATCCGTCTCCTCGTCCGTCTCCACATCAATAACTGCGCTCTCATCCGCATGCCTTGTGCATGTAGATCTGCCTCCTTGTCATCATCTCCGCTATGGAAATCAGTCCAACATCCTTGAAGCTGCTTGTATTCGTAAGCTCTTTCCCGCCAGACTCTTGTTCATCCATCTCACCGCCGCCTTCATCACACTGTCACTTTAATCCTCTGCTTCTTCTTCTTCATCCGTTTACTCTTCTGTCTCCACATCATTAACTGCATTCTCATCCGCTTCCTCATCGTCTTGTGCGTGTAGATCCTCCTATTTTAAGACCTTTACAAAATAAAGCCGGTATAACATGTACATAGCATGCTCCATCAACAGCTCGATCAGACCGCCTGGAACAGTGAAACTGGTCATACTCGGACACCGAGCAGAGCTCCAAGACGTTGTGCGTCAACACATCGTTCAGCGATCGTCGCGGGCCATGAACTACAGCTTCCTGTTGCTTCAACGTAAAGAAAAGGAATCGGCATTCGAACTCCAAATGAAGTACAACACTATCACTCTTGTCAGCACCGTTGCGGCTTGACCCGGTTTCGGTGGAGAAAGCAAACACTGTCTTGAAGCGAGTGACGCCTTCTGGATGAAGAGTTTCCAAAAAGGGTACAATCCTCCGCGACTCTAACAACGCAGTTGTTGACGACGGTTCAGCCGCCGTCAACTATAGCAAGGGAAACTATAGGCATAAATTGTTTTTCCACTAGAGTTTCTAAACTAAAACATGTCGCAGTCTAGAACGTTCCACTGGTGCCCATTGCATTAGGTTGGCAAAAAAATCAAGTCTGACGTGCAGTATAGTGTGCATGCTGGACTGCATAAAAGGGTGGTGCGGCTTAGACCCCAAATATTGACCTTCTAAAGACACGTACCCCAGAGTGATCACAAGTAACTTACTTCATCTGTGAGGTCCTTGCCAGTGTTCGGGTTTTTCAAGGTGACCGCATGACTCAGACGACGGTGTTGGACAGTAGAGCGTCCAGGCGTCGGCTGTGCGCTGGACTCACCGGAATACGGCGGCTGCGGTGTCTTTTGCTGCTGCTGCTGCTGGTGGTGCTGTTGGTGCTGCTGAGGTGGTGATGGCTGACAATGACCAGTGGCACCCTGTGGCTGATGCTGATGTTGCAGCTGCTGAGGTGGTGATGGACAAAGATGACCAGTGGCAGTGGCACCCTGTGACTGATGCTGATGTTGCAGCTGCTGCTGGAGTGCTGCCTGCTGCTGCCACGCTGCTTGCTGCTGGTGGTGAGGCAACGGCGGCTGCTGCTGGTGATGATGCGCGACACCACTGGCCTGCGGGGTTGGAATACCAGCAGTGGCGACGGCAGCTGGCTGCTGCCGTGTCATATATTGCAGCTGGTGTTGCTGTGAATAGTGTGTTGGTGGCTGCTGGCCAGGCAGCAGTGTAGCAGGCATCGCGTGCTGGGTTGGGTGGATTTGCGGCACATCACCATACTGTGGTGAAGTGCCAGGGAACTGGACATACCCCGGCGGCGTAGCTCCAAGAATGTGCTGAGCCGAACATCACAGCAGACCACAATACAGACACAGCACATGGTTGGAAAGTAAATATAAATAAGCTGAATATCCTAGTCAAGTTCTTATCCGTTACCATCCAGGTGTTCCGAGCATCCAGATAAACACTGCGTGCGCTAGAGTATTGCGAATGGATTGTTTGGAACTGCGCAACGCTTTATCCACCATTTTCCAGCTATCACTAAGCATGCTTTCACTAAATCCTCTTCTTCATTCAGGCACTGTCGGGCGTTCTAAAGTCCCTCCGTCCCAATAATGTATCTCTTAATTTGCTGGCCCAAAATCCTATATATAGGATTTGAAAATGTGTGCCTTTTATGGCGTTGTTATTGGTCATCACGACCAATAATAACGACATTGTGGTTTTCATGGAAGTTGTAAATATGTTTGAGGCATGAATGCTTACATTTTAGATTCATAGGGCGAAAATATTTCTGATGAATACCCATTTTCAGCAATAATTGGAAATTTGAGCATAATTGTTCAGCTGCTGTCATGGAAAGAACTGAAGCAGTGAATGTGCAAAAGAACATTGCAGGTGTGGCACGGGGTGGTTTCATGACGACATATCGCACATGCCGTCATGAAACTACCAGTTTTAAGGATAAAACAAGGTCCAATAAAATCTCAAATCCTATATATAGGATTCGAAAAATAGGGCACAGGCCTTAGTAATATTGGGCAAGGAGATGAGCCTGAGATGTTAGTGTTTGAAAAAATTATCTTATTCAACTCTCGATATCTACAAAGACCTAGCAAGGAAGAATTGGTCACATACGTTTTGCTATTCTCATGCCACACCCATTTTGAGTTGAAAAATATGACCAAAATCATTATAGGATTTAGCAAATTAAGAGATACATGAATTGCAGATACATATATAATTCTGACATGACCAGCAAGGAGAATGCCCAGTACATGAATTTAGATCAAAAGAACCATTTGATCTCTTCACAGGACCACATGTCGATATACTGTACAGGCAAAAAATTAGTCAGTGAATAATTGCGTCAGCTCCAAAGAAAGGAAGTTCATTCGGTTGAAGATTTAGTTCATGGACCAAACAATTGTATTAAAAAGCTAGACAAATCGGCGTTAATCCGAAAACTCCTTGGAAAAAACAAATCCAGACAAATATATTTCTGCTCGTACAGTAGACATTTCTGAGCATCATGGAGCGGTCGCACACAAAAGGTACTGTAAAACATGTCATTTTAGGTGTACTAAAATGTCGGTGTCAGGGACCTGATGGGTTTCAGGTGTAACTTAGAATTAGGTACAAACATGACCCTCATATACAGTATACACTCTTGTGCCATTTAGGTGTCATCAAGAGTACATACCCCCCAGAGTGTGCAACGCCTGATCCAGCTCTGCATAGGGTCTTGGTCGAGCGGAATCGGATCTTTGCGTCATAATACCGTACAAATCTGAGGGGAACCCGGGGAGTCGCGGGTACTCTTGGATCAAAAACAATGGTGCCCTGCCTCGAGACCGGCCTTGCACTGGTGTGGAGTGTACGCATGACATCAGAAGGTCCGATTCCGCTCGACCAAGACCCTATGGAGAGCTGGATCGGCGTTGCACACTCTGGGGGGTTATGTACTCTTGGTGTCATCTATATTTAGGTGCCTGGTATTTCCACCGAAATCACCGAAATTAAAGTAATTAGTTTAATACAGTGCTCGTGCCATGAACTAAACTTCTCATGCTTTCTGTACGAAAACCAATCACAAGAAGCCAAGCTTTAGTTGATGAAGGAAGTACATGACTGTATTCATCTGTACGTGCACAAGCAGAGGTTGATTGCTCACCGGCGGTCCGTAGGCGCTACCCAATATCAGCGTGGCCGCAGCCGGTGAAACGATCTATCATAGGAAAGGCAAAAAGCAAAGCAGAAAAATAGCATCAGACACCTTACCAAAAGGTAACGATGATGTGCGTGTAAGTGCACACTCCCATGCTCACCTGCACGCTTGTCCCTTTCGGCAAGGGCACGTAACCCCCAAGAGTGTGCAGTTCCTGTATACTGTAATTTCACAATTTTTCGGTGTACTTTTTTTCGGTACTTTCGGTGTGTCTGTTTCACACCTAAAATTTCAACACACCGAACAAACACTAACACACATAATCCAATAGGGAACTGCTTCTCCGTACCGAAAATTTATGTTCACCTAACCTAGCCTGTTGCCCTCACACGGCTGTCAAGAAGCGGCAACTTAGAAAGATGGCGTCGGTTCGAGATGGCATGGTAACCGCGCACGTGCCGTGGTCCGTGACTTGCTCATGTATGCACGCAAATGCAAGTCACAAACTTACAAAGATCGTCTTTGCATTTTGGAGAAAATATCTTCGACTCTCTTTGGAGGTTGGCGAGGTTTGCCTAAGCTTTACCTGATTGCGATGCCGGTATGTCCTCTCAATAATTAGAACAAAGAGAGCTGATGATCGCTTCATTGCTGAGCAGAAGTAACAATCAACTCTCCTCATGTCCTCAGTGCCAAAGGCAGACGACTGCAATTCCTCAACGCTCATTTCACGATGATGGAAACAATAATCGTGTACTAGTACACACTAGGACCATTTGGTCATTCCTATTCTAGCCGCTAGTCCGTCCAGCAAGCAGATATTGACTATTACGATAAGGACAACTGCGTGAACGAGGGCTCGCCCAGCAAATACAATTCAAGTCGTGACTCCAGTCAAGAATTAGGGTCTTTACTCGAGAACTTCACAAATACAGGCCAAGGCACCCCACAAAACTGATAGATGGCACGAACGAAAGACAAATAGGCTAGACAAAGTGTCTCAAGTGATTGAAAACAGCAGATCTACCAAATAAGACAGCTACATGTGCCTAAACAACGATTCCCATACAGTAGAGAGTAGTATCAGGCAGAATGAAAGCCTTGGAAGTGCAAAAATACAGCGACGACCGCCACAAAAATTGGACGACCGCCACAAAAAAATTCTCATTGCTCTACCTCCTTGAAGGGCGAAAGTTACCAGTTATCCTATAGCGATGTCAGTTTATGCCTGTTGGAACCCCCCATAGCCCGCACGAAATACCTTTCAAATAATTCCAGGATGCAATTGCAGCTCCAGACAGGAGGAAGAAGAACACCGTGAAAAATAACGGCAACGATGCCCAAACTCTCGGGAAACGGCTGAAGTCTTCCTGAAGATGTTAACATTGAATAGCCATCGATTACCAGCGTGGTTTGGTGACTTTAGAACTGTTTTGAGACTTAGAACGAAGCGATATCTCAAATTTGATGGAATTGTTACCTGTCAAATGCGTGGGCGAGCAGGCCAGCTGACTGGTTATGCATGAGCATGCATTGGTTTTTCATGGTTCACGTGCAGAAAACTAAGTTGCCGCGATCCAAGTGCAGCTAACAGCCGTGCTCAGGCAGCAGTGTAGCAGGCATCGCGTGCTGGGTTGGGTGGATTTGCGGCACAACACCATACTGTGGTGAAGTGCCAGGGAACTGGACATACCCCGGCGGCGTAGCTCCAAGAATGTGCTGAGCCGAACATCACAGCAGACCAAAATACAGACACAGCACATGGTTGGAATGTAAATATAAATAAGCTGAATATCCTAGTCAAGTTCTTATCCGTTACCATCCAGGTGTTCCGAGCATCCAGATAAACATCATCAAGGCACGTGCATGAATAAACCATCGCACAAAACATGCCAAACCTACATACAGCGTAGTGTGAAAAGGCCAAGACGCCCAGGCCAGTTAAAGTACATTACCAAAACTAAGGAGGTGTTTGAGTTACCCCTGTCAAGTTTGGAGAAACATCTAAGAAAGAAAAGAGGAGTTGAACTGTCCAACAAACGGTTGCTGTTAGTCTTGCCATTTTCATTAGAAATGTCATAGCAATGCGATATTCTGCCATGCAACTCAAAGTGAAAAAAAACAAAAATCAAAAAATGAGTACAAAGCTGGTACACTGGACCAGCTCCGATCAGTACTACATCCACTCCCTAGACTAGCGTCTATTTGCTTTTTTGGAAGATCGTCACAAGAAAGAAAAAACAAACATCCAGCAGGGTTCGCATCACTTCCAGGGCCAGTGCAGCACGGGCAGCGCAAGTCCATGCTGCCATTTCAGAAGCACTTGCGGTCGGAATTCACCTAACACGATCACACAACTGGTAGCTTCACTGAGTCAAAGGCTGGTGTCAAAGGCTGGTAGTGTGCAGCTCATAACCAAGAAGTAAACATTTCAGTAGGTGGACTCCCCACATCTGAGCACTCATATGTACCTACCAAGCGCCTTTCTCACCCCTCTGTGCGTCATTAAAATCGGCATCTCAACGAAAAACACCAAGAAATATTGATCGGCACCCAAATAGTAAGGAGCCGTCCATAAATATCGATATCTTATTAGGATTGAAGAAATTACTTCCTCCGCGTCATCGAAATTGTCGCAATTTGACTTTTGATATAAAACGGGGTATTTACTCACCAGCACTCGCACCAGATGCAAGGAATCGGACATAGGCGATAGTCATCAGTATAGGGTGACGGCAAAGTTCTATTTTCTGTTATTGGAAGCTGAAATCTTTGAACTAGACGCAATTTCTTCGCTGATGTCGCTGCGATGGTAATTTCGACTCGCTGAGATCATTCAGGCATTGCAGCCTGCACATTTCTCGTGCTTATGGCCATTCACTCAAAGCCTCATCACTGTTTTACCTTAGCTGGGTGAGAATGACTTCTTGAAACAAGTGGCAGCGCTTGGACACACTTGGAGAAACATCAAGGGGTCAGCAAACTAAATGCATGCAACAGCGATAAAATCTGTCGCTCTGGCTGAGACACTCAGTACATGATTGTACCATTAAGAGCCGTGTAGAGTCTACACGTAGTGCTAGTGATGCACGCGCAGGTGCCGTACCAGTGATGCTGAAAAAGAGGGTGCGCTGGACGTGATAGTACACTTACCTGCATGAGCTGTGACCACACAGCTAAAATAATTGGGCATGCCACGGCTAAAAACAGTTCATTTCAAGATCGAGGTGATTCCGCCGACCGTAATCAACCGATCTCGCAACGATCGTGTGTATTCTTACTTCGTTGGTGGTGAAGTAGAAATCATCCAGGGCTAGCAGACGACAAGCATAGCAGCTCGTGTCCTGTGGAGAAAGTCAAAGCGTTTGAGATGAGGCGCGACCAACTTACAGCCTTCCTTGAAATATTTCGGAACGATATTTTTTGCGTCCATTGACATCAGCGACGACGAGGCCTTCATCTCTGCGTGAAAACTCTCAGTCCAACTGTCCTGGAACGTTACTCTAGCCTTCAGACTATCATACTGTGTAATAAGTTTTGAATGGTTTAGCTTATGGAGTTGTCAGTAACAAGTGACAAGTCACTAGTCAAACTGCAACAATTTCGATGACGCGGAGGAAGTACGTGGAAACAGAAAAAAATACGCGCTCTGGGGCGAAATAGTGCGGAGCGCGATGAATTTGTTTGGTGCGGACGAGAGCTCCGAGACCACCACAGATTCCGTAGCAAATAGACATTGTGTAGGAAGGGTCGGAGCAATGTTCAAACACAGAAAACAGCGATTCCGACACACCGACTAAGACAAGCAAGTCACAAACACTGCGATGTGCGAGGCGACAATTTTAATGACGCGGAGGAAGTAATATTTGTGGTATGGAGCATGCATGCATTCCATTATGACAAGAACTGTGCACAATAAGAACAGGAAATCTTCGAGGCGACAAAATGTTTATTAATCGGTCACCAGTGGAATTTACAGAAGTTAAAGGGTAAACGGTGAACAAACACCGGCTAAGTAGTCGTGCGGTGACACAATAGACATATAAGGGCTGCTGATCAACGTGATGAAACAATTTGAAAAGAAAAGGCACGTAAACGAAGTCGTGATCATACACGGCAAGGTGTAGAAGAACAAGAAGAGCGAGTTTACGAATATAAGCGTAATGCAATAACGTGTTCCTTCTGTTTGAACAAATCAGGCTTGTGCATACGAACACAAACCGCTTCAAGAACTGATTGACATAGCAGGCACGACTAAGTACAGGGAAACACAAGTCCTCCTACACGCTAAAACAGGATGGGACACCAAATGCAAGTGTACAGCTGACTTCTTAGTAGTGCTGAAACGATTACGTTTTTTCCTTAGTGGCTTAGCTGATACCATAACGATCGGCTTATCGGCTAAACGATTATTATTGTAACTACATCAGTACATGTACATTCTGTGAATTTCAAAAAAATTACGAGTCCAACATCGCCAACGACGGAAAGCGGGCGCATAGATCTGATGATCTCGCAACAAGTCCGTCAGCTGTTCGGACTGACCAGACGAATACAGACAAGACAGAGGCAATTCACTGGTTGCAACCCAAGAGCTGATGGTGCCCTTCGCCTGTGACCGCTTTCTCCGACGATGAAGTCATAGAAGCCGGCCAGGGGTGCAGATTGGCGGATTTCGACGGTTGAGCTGACTTGAGGCGCACCAAGGCAACCAGTAACTAGTTGCTTTTGCTGTCTATGCTCAAAATAGGCCCAGACGCCAGGCCTAGCTCGTCGTCAAGCAAACTGGTTCGGGAACCGTCGACAGAATGGAAAACATGAACTGAAGACCACTTTACTGTCTTTAGCTCAAGACTACTTGCACGTGGAGGGAACTCCAGCCCCTGCAGCTAGTGTAGACACATACTGAGCCTGCCCGTCCTGCATGCTCTATGTAAGAAAAGTACGAGCTCATAGTCAGCTCAAAAGACGGTGACGGTGATCGTGTTGCTGTTTCTCAGATCGCGCTTGTACTTTACACGTACATCGATGTTGCAAGTGTACAGTCAGGTACATATTCGTGTCGTAATCGCAACACTTTCGATGCATGCACGCTTTGTGCGACCCCCAAAAGGGGGAAATCCCGTACCGAGCGTAAGTACCATTCTACTCGTTTAGCCGATAAAATCGAAATAACCGTTCGATCTATTTCTTATCGAGTAAGTAACGAGTAATCGATATAATCGTTTCAGCACTACTTCTTAGTGACAATACACTCATGTGGCTCCTCCTGCTCCTTCCCGCCCGACTCGTGATCATCCATCTCACCGCCACCTGCATCCTCCGTTTTTCCTTCATCCGTCTCCTCGTCCGTCTCCACATCAATAACTGCGCTCTCATCCGCATGCCTTGTGCATGTAGATCTGCCTCCTTGTCATCATCTCCGCTATGGAAATCAGTCCAACATCCTTGAAGCTGCTTGTATTCGTAAGCTCTTTCCCGCCAGACTCTTGCTCATCCATCTCACCGCCGCCTTCATCACACTGTCACTTTCATCCTCTGCTTCTTCTTCTTCATCCGTTTACTCTTCTGTCTCCACATCATTAACTGCATTCTCATCCGCTTCCTCATCGTCTTGTGCGTGTAGATCCTCCTATTTTAAGACCTTTACAAAATAAAGCCGGTATAACATGTACATAGCATGCTCCATCAACAGCTCGATCAGACCGCCTGGAACAGTGAAACTGGTCATACTCGGACACCGAGCAGAGCTCCAAGACGTTGTGGGTCAACACTTCGTTCAGCGATCGTCGCGGGCCATGAACTACAGCTTCCTGTTGCTTCAACGTAAAGAAAAGGAATCGGCATTCGAACTCCAAATATAGTACAACACTATCACTCCTGTCAGCACCGTTGCGGCTTGACCCGGTTTCGTTGGAAAAAGCAAACACTGTCTTGAAGCGAGTGACGCCTTCTGGATGAAGAGTTTCCAAAAAGGGTACAATCCTCCGCGACTCTAACAACGCAGTTGTTGACGACGGTTCAGCCGCCGTCAACTATAGCAAGGGAAACTATAGGCATAAATTGTTTTTCCACTAGAGTTTCTAAACTAAAACATGTCGCTGTCTAGAACGTTCCACTGGTGCCCATTGCATTAGGTTGGCAAAAAAATCAAGTCTGACATGCAGTATAGTGTGCATGCTGTACCATAAAAGGGTGGTGCGGCTTAGACCCCAAATATTGACCTTCTAAAGACACGTACCCCAGAGTGATCACAAGTAACTTACTTCATCTGTGAGGTCCTTGCCAGTGTTCGGGTTTTTCAAGGTGACCGCATGACTCAGACGACGGTGTTGGACAGTAGAGCGTCCAGGCGTCGGCTGTGCGCTGGACTCACCGGAAGACGGCGGCTGCGGTGTCTTTTGCTGCTGCTGCTGCTGGTGGTGCTGTTGGTGCTGCTGAGGTGGTGATGGCTGACAATGACCAGTGGCACCCTGTGGCTGATGCTGATGTTGCAGCTGCTGAGGTGGTGATGGACAAAGATGACCAGTGGCAGTGGCACCCTGTGACTGATGCTGATGTTGCAGCTGCTGCTGGAGTGCTGCCTGCTGCTGCCACGCTGCTTGCTGCTGGTGGTGAGGCAACGGTGGCTGCTGCTGGTGATGATGCGCGACACCACTGGCCTGCGGGGTTGGAATACCAGCAGTGGCGACGGCAGCTGGCTGCTGCTGTGTCATATATTGCAGCTGGTGTAGCTGTGAATAGTGTGTTGGTGGCTGCTGGCCAGGCAGCAGTGTAGCAGGCATCGCGTGCTGGGTTGGGTGGATTTGCGGCACAACACCATACTGTGGTGAAGTGCCAGGGAACTGGACATACCCCGGCGGCGTAGCTCCAAGAATGTGCTGAGCCGAACATCACAGCAGACCAAAATACAGACACAGCACATGGTTGGAATGTAAATATAAATAAGCTGAATATCCTAGTCAAGTTCTTATCCGTTACCATCCAGGTGTTCCGAGCATCCAGATAAACATCATCAAGGCACGTGCATGAATAAACCATCGCACAAAACATGCCAAACCTACATACAGCGTAGTGTGAAAAGGCCAAGACGCCCAGGCCAGCCAAAGTACATTACCAAAACTAAGGAGGTGTTTGAGTTACCCCTGTCAAGTTTGGAGAAACATCTAAGAAAGAAAAGAGGAGTTGAAGTGTCCAACAAACGGTTGCTGTTAGTCTTGCCATTTTCATTAGAAATGTCATAGCAATGCGATATTCTGCCATGCAACTCAAAGTGAAAAGAAACAAAATCAAAAAATGAGTACAAAGCTGGTACACTGGACCAGCTCCGATCAGTACTACATCCATTCCCTAGACTAGCGTCTATTTGCTTTTTTGGAAGATCGTCACAAGAAAGAAAAAAACAAACATCCAGCAGGGTTCGCATCACTTCCAGGGCCAGTGCAGCACGGGCAGCGCAAGTCCATGCTGCCATTTCAGAAGCACTTGCGGTCGGAATTCACCTAACACGATCACACAACTGGTAGCTTCGCTGAGTCAAAAGGCTGGTGTCAAAGGCTGGTAGTGTGCAGCTCATAACCAAGAAGTAAACATTTCAGTAGGTGGACTCCCCACATCTGAGCACTCATATGTACCTACCAAGCGCCTTTCTCACCCCTCTGTGCGTCATTAAAATCGGCATCTCAACGAAAAACACCAAGAAATATTGATCGGCACCCAAATAGTAAGGAGCCGTCCATAAATATCGATATCTTATTAGGATTGAAGAAATTACTTCCTCCGCGTCATCGAAATTGTCGCAATTTGACTTTTGATATAAAACGGGGTATTTACTCACCAGCACTCGCACCGGATGCAAGGAATCGGACATAGGCGATAGTCATCAGTATAGGGTGACGGCAAAGTTCTATTTTCTGTTATTGGAAGCTGAAATCTTTGAACTAGACGCAATTTCTTCGATGATGTCGCTGCGATGGTAATTTCGACTCGCTGAGATCATTCAGGCATTGCAGCCTGCACATTTCTCGTGCTTATGGCCATTCACTCAAAGCCTCATCACTGTTTTACCTTAGCTGGGTGAGAATGACTTCGTGAAACAAGTGGCAGCGCTTGGACACACTTGGAGAAACATCAAGGGGTCAGCAAACTAAATGCATGCAACAGCGATAAAATCTGTCGCTCTGGCTGAGACACTCAGTACATGATTGTACCATTAAGAGCGGTGTAGAGTCTACACGTAGTGCTAGTGATGCACGCGCAGGTGCCGTACCAGTGATGCTGAAAAAGAGGGTGCGCTGGACGTGATAGTACACTTACCTGCATGAGCTGTGACCACACAGCTAAAATAATTGGGCATGCCACGGCTAAAAACAGTTCATTTCAAGATCGAGGTGATTCCGCCGACCGTAATCAACCGACCTCGCAACGATTGTGTGTATTCTTACTTCGTTGGTGGTGAAGTAGAAATCATCCAGGGCTAGCAGACGACAAGCATAGCAGCTCGTGTCCTGTGGAGAAAGTCAAAGCGTTTGAGATGAGGCGCGACCAACTTACAGCCTTCCTTGAAATATTTCGGAACGATATTTTTTGCGTCCATTGACATCAGCGACGACGAGGCCTTCATCTCTGCGTGAAAACTCTCAGTCCAACTGTCCTGGAACGTTACTCTAGCCTTCAGACTATCATACTGTGTAATAAGTTTTGAATGGTTTAGCTTATGGAGTTGTCAGTAACAAGTGACAAGTCACTAGTCAAACTGCAACAATTTCGATGACGCGGAGGAAGTACGTGGAAACAGAAAAAAATACGCGCTCTGGGGCGAAATAGTGCGGAGCGCGATGAATTTGTTTGGTGCGGACGAGAGCTCCGAGACCACCACAGATTCCGTAGCAAATAGACATTGTGTAGGAAGGGTCGGAGCAATGTTAAAACACAGAAAACAGCGATTCCGACACACCGACTAAGACAAGCAAGTCACAAACACTGCGATGTGCGAAGCGACAATTTTAATGACGCGGAGGGAGTAATATTTGTGGTATGGAGCATGCATGCATTCCATTATGACAAGAACTGTGCACAATAAGAACAGGAAATCTTCGAGGAGACAAAATGTTTATTAATCGGTCACCAGTGGAATTTACAGAAGTTAAAGGGTAAACGGTGAACAAACACCGGCTAAGTAGTCGTGCGGTGACACAATAGACATATAAGGGCTGCTGATCAACGTGATGAAACAATTTGAAAAGAAAAGGCAGGTAAACGAAGTCGTGATCATACACGGCAAGGTGTAGAAGAACAAGAAGAGCGAGTTTACGAATATAAGCGTAATGCAACAACGTGTTCCTTCTGTTTGCACAAATCAGGCTTGTGCATACGAACACAAACCGCTTCAAGAACTGATTGACATAGCAGGCACGACTAAGTACAGGGAAACACAAGTCCTCCTACACGCTAAAACAGGATGGGACACCAAATGCAAGTGCACAGCTGACTTCTTAGTGACAATACACTCATCTGGCTCCTCCTGCTCCTTCCCGCCCGACTCGTGATCATCCATCTCACCGCCACCTGCATCCTCCGTTTTTCCTTCATCCGTCTCCTCGTCCGTCTCCACATCAATAACTGCGCTCTCATCCGCATGCCTTGTGCATGTAGATCTGCCTCCTTGTCATCATCTCCGCTATGGAAATCAGTCCAACATCCTTGAAGCTGCTTGTATTCGTTAGCTCTTTCCCGCCAGACTCTTGTTCATCCATCTGACCGCCGCCTTCATCACACTGTCACTTTCATCCTCTGCTTCTTCTTCTTCATCCGTTTACTCTTCTGTCTCCACATCATAAACTGCATTCTCATCCGCTTCCTCATCGTCTTGTGCGTGTAGATCCTCCTATTTTAAGACCTTTACAAAATAAAGCCGGTATAACATGTACATAGCATGCTCCATCAACAGCTCGATCAGACCGCCTGGAACAGTGAAACTGGTCATACTCAGACACCGAGCAGAGCTCCAAGACGTTGTGGGTCAACACATCGTTCAGCGATCGTCGCGGGCCATGAACTACAGCTTCCTGTTGCTTCAACGTAAAGAAAAGGAATCGGCATTCGAACTCCAAATGAAGTACAACACTATCACTTCTGTCAGCACCGTTGCGGCTTGACCCGGTTTCGGTGGAAAAAGCAAACACTGTCTTGAAGCGATTGACGCCTTTTGGATGAAGAGTTTCCAAAAAGGGTACAATCCTCCGCGACTCTAACAACGCAGTTGTTGACGACGGTTCAGCCGCCGTCAACTATAGCAAGGGAAACTATAGGCATAAATTGTTTTTCCACTAGAGTTTCTAAACTAAAACATGTCGCTGTCTAGAACGTTCCACTGGTGCCCATTGCATTAGGTTGCCAAAAAAATCCAGTCTGACGTGCAGTATAGTGTGCATGCTGGACCATAAAAGGGTGGTGCGGCTTAGACCCCAAATATTGACCTTCTAAAGACACGTACCCCAGAGTGATCACAAGTAACTTACTTCATCTGTGAGGTCCTTGCCAGTGTTCGGGTTTTTCAAGGTGACCGCATGACTCAGACGACGGTGTTGGACAGTAGAGCGTCCAGGCGTCGGCTGTGCGCTGGACTCACCGGAAGACGGCGGCTGCGGTGTCTTTTGCTGCTGCTGCTGCTGGTGGTGCTGTTGGTGCTGCTGAGGTGGTGATGGCTGACAATGACCAGTGGCACCCTGTGGCTGATGCTGATGTTGCAGCTGCTGAGGTGGTGATGGCCAAAGATGACCAGTGGCAGTGGCACCCTGTGACTGATGCTGATGTTGCAGCTGCTGCTGCTGCCACGCTGCTTGCTGCTGGTGGTGAGGCAACGGCGGCTGCTGCTGGTGATGATGCGCGACACCACTGGCCTGCGGGGTTGGAATACCAGCAGTGGCGACGGCAGCTGGCTGCTGCCGTGTCATATATTGCAGCTGGTGTTGCTGTGAATAGTGTGTTGGTGGCTGCTGGCCAGGCAGCAGTGTAGCAGGCATCGCGTGCTGGGTTGGGTGGATTTGCGGCACAACACCATACTGTGGTGAAGTGCCAGGGAACTGGACATACCCCGCCGGCGTAGCTCCAAGAATGTGCTGAGCCGAACATCACAGCAGACCACAATACAGACACAGCACATGGTTGGAAAGTAAATATAAATAAGCTGAATATCCTAGTCAAGTTCTTATCCGTTACCATCCAGGTGTTCCGAGCATCCAGATAAACACTGCGTGCGCTAGAGTATTGCGAATGGATTGTTTGGAACTGCGCAACGCTTTATCCACCATTTTCCAGCTATCACTAAGCATGCTTTCACTAAATCCTCTTCTTCATTCAGGCACTGTCGGGCGTTCTAAAGTCCCTCCGTCCCAATAATGTATCTCTTAATTTGCTGGCCCAAAATCCTATATATAGGATTTGAAAATGTGTGCCTTTTATGGCGTTGTTATTGGTCATCACGACCAATAATAACGACATTGTGGTTTTCATGGAAGTTGTAAATATGTTTGAGGCATGAATGCTTACATTTTAGATTCATAGGGCGAAAATATTTCTGATGAATACCCATTTTCAGCAATAATTGGAAATTTGAGCATAATTGTTCAGCTGCTGTCATGGAAAGAACTGAAGCAGTGAATGTGCAAAAGAACATTGCAGGTGTGGCACGGGGTGGTTTCATGACGACATATCGCACATGCCGTCATGAAACTACCAGTTTTAAGGATAAAACAAGGTCCAATAAAATCTCAAATCCTATATATATGTTGGACTCAGTAGAGCGTCCAGCCCCTATATGATGTCCAACCCCTATATAGAGTCCATTGGTCCAAAATCCACTGTACAGAGTCCAAACTTGGAATCAACTGTGAGCTCAAAGTTTAGATGGACATCACTCCCTGTATAGAGTCCAGCCAATTGGCTTCACCCCTATATAGAGTCCATCGGTCCAAAATCAACTGTACGGAGTCCAAACTTTGAAATCAACTATAAAGATTAAAGAGTCTTTTATGTGGACAACACTCCTTGTATAAAGTCCAGCCAACTAGGCATCCCCTATCGAGTTCGAAATTAGACATAGGATCTGCTGTAAGCAGTGAATATTAACCAGAAAACGGCCTCTCCCTTTAATCCTTTACATCATTCACTTCTCAAGGTAAAAAATATGTATTGAGGCGCCACTGCAGCCACTTCATTACATGAAAAAGCCTACAAACACCATCCTCAAATCAAGTGGTCTCTTCGCAGACGCTGCAAATTACAATATCTCAATCATGTAGTGTTGCCAAATAATTGTGCACGCACACACACACATGCACACACCCACACGTCAAGAAAATACCTAGAAAAAAAACAAGAATCGAAAGAGAATAATGGAGAGCCCAGGATTAATTATTTGTTTTCAAATTATTGCGCACACACACACACACACACACACACACACACACACACACACACACACACACACACACACACACACTCACACACACACAAACTTATACAACGCCAAGAAAACACCAAGAAAAGAGTAGAGACACAATACACACACAACTCCACCAGCCATGCAAACGTCCACCCATTTACAAGTAAAGTCAAGAGGGATAACAAATAATTATACGAAACGAATGCATACAGGCACGTTTACATACATGTATTAGTGTAAGAGAGTAACATAGTGCAGTGGTCAGCATAATACTAGCACATGCTGAGAGTGCAATAGCAAGCTTCACCATTGCTCATGGCCATGCAAATGTTCAGCAGCACTCAGTTCCGCAAGCTTCTGAAGATCAGCACACCTGCAACAAAATAAACAAGGATACGCTTATTACCGTAATGATGCATAGGAGCACACAACTACCAAGTTCTCAACGAATGTGATGCTCAATGAAAATCAATCCACTCAAAGACCTGTGAACAGGTGACGGTGGGGACAATAATCTATTAGTAATACGAGGAATAAGATCGTTTGTGCACACTCAAGACGCACAAACACACCACCATACATGTAGTGTACACAGCGTTTCACTTCACTGCAACTAAATTGAAATGAGATGATTTGAACAATCTGTACAGCGTTGCCGTCAGTCAGTCTTCCCCAAGATGGAAATGCAATGATTTGTTGTCACGAGGCAGTTTCACTGACACAATGTCATGTTCGTGACATCAAAACGGTTACTTCAGGGAATACGAGTATTAGCTTGAGAAGCTTTTTCTTGTCATTGGCATACAAGCAATCCTCCTACTACTACTAGTACACTGGCATTGCGTTTGTGGATCCCATTGTATTTGACATCATACTAGAGGAAGAGTGTCGTGGAGTTTCACATAATTATCACAGGGATAAAAATACATTTCTCATGAAATAATTATAATAATTGATGATAGCTAGACGATCGTATACGATTGATGCAAAGTCCTTGCAGTCCTTGAGGACTATTACGAAGTGGTTGATTACTTTTAGGGTATTCATTCAAGCAACATCAAACAAACGCGATACGCTCCTTGAAAAATGGAAAAAAATTCAAGCATAACGACAGAACAGCAGACCAATCGAAACGAGTACAGCTTCCTTACCTCAGTCAATATCGTCCTGCCATGTAGTTGGACAGCCTTTTGACACGGTGGTACAGGCAGCTCTTGCCCAGTCAAACAGGGGTATCCTTGTGGCGTCGAACGAAAGAGAGTGTCAGTGTATCCGACTCGTCAGATTGGAACTGTGCTGAACTTTTCTCTTTCTCCGGTTTCTGCTTTCATCCCTCGCTCTGATGAAACCGTTCAAACGTCTTACTGGCAGCAATGGCCAGCCAAACAGGGGATCCTTGTGGCGTCGAACGAAAGAGACTGTCAGTGTACCTGACTCGTCAGATGTGAACTGTGCTGAACTTTTCTCGTTCTGCAATTTCTGCTTTCATCCCGCGCACTGTTGAAACGACTTCAGAGAATCACAAGACGCTTTCCAGATTTGATTTTGAACGTCTCCTTATCCTCCTTGGTTACCTCGTGACAGATTACTGTCAGCAACTTCATAGCAGAACTGGCAGCCATGGCTGAAGTGAAGAAAGGAATGCGCTGCCACGAGGCAAGCAAAACTGAAAATGTGTTTGTTCTTTTTCGGGCACAACACACAGGACGGCGTGACTGGACTCCTGGACTGTGAATAGGGGACTGGTAGAAAAAGTGTACTCCTTATAGGGGATTGCGCGTCAGGATGAAGCTGATCAAAACTGAGTGGACTCCTGGACTCTGTATAGTGGATTTTGGACCAATGGACTCTATATAGGGTGCTGGACATCATATAGTGCATGGACTCTATACTGAGTCCTACATATAGGATTCGAAAAATAGGGCACAGGCCTTAGTAATATTGGGCAAGGAGATGAGCCTGAGATGTTAGTGTTTGAAAAAATTATCTTATTCAACTCTCGATATCTACAAAGACCTAGCAAGGAAGAATTGGTCACATACGTTTTGCTATTCTCATGCCACACCCATTTTGAGTTGAAAAATATGACCAAAATCATTATAGGATTTAGCAAATTAAGAGATACATGAATTGCAGATACATATATAATTCTGACATGACCAGCAAGGAGAATGCCCAGTACATGAATTTAGATCAAAAGAACCATTTGATCTCTTCACAGGACCACATGTCGATATACTGTACAGGCAAAAAATTAGTCAGTGAATAATTGCGTCAGCTCCAAAGAAAGGAAGTTCATTCGGTTGAAGATTTAGTTCATGGACCAAACAATTGTATTAAAAAGCTAGACAAATCGGCGTTAATCCGAAAACTCCTTGGAAAAAACAAATCCAGACAAATATATTTCTGCTCGTACAGTAGACATTTCTGAGCATCATGGAGCGGTCGCACACAAAAGGTACTGTAAAACATGTCATTTTAGGTGTACTAAAATGTCGGTGTCAGGGACCTGATGGGTTTCAGGTGTAACTTAGAATTAGGTACAAACATGACCCTCATATACAGTATACACTCTTGTGCCATTTAGGTGTCATCAAGAGTACATACCCCCCAGAGTGTGCAACGCCTGATCCAGCTCTGCATAGGGTCTTGGTCGAGCGGAATCGGATCTTTGCGTCATAATACCGTACAAATCTGAGGGGAACCCGGGGAGTCGCGGGTACTCTTGGATCAAAAACAATGGTGCCCTGCCTCGAGACCGGCCTTGCACTGGTGTGGAGTGTACGCATGACATCAGAAGGTCCGATTCCGCTCGACCAAGACCCTATGGAGAGCTGGATCGGCGTTGCACACTCTGGGGGGTTATGTACTCTTGGTGTCATCTATATTTAGGTGCCTGGTATTTCCACCGAAATCACCGAAATTAAAGTAATTAGTTTAATACAGTGCTCGTGCCATGAACTAAACTTCTCATGCTTTCTGTACGAAAACCAATCACAAGAAGCCAAGCTTTAGTTGATGAAGGAAGTACATGACTGTATTCATCTGTACGTGCACAAGCAGAGGTTGATTGCTCACCGGCGGTCCGTAGGCGCTACCCAATATCAGCGTGGCCGCAGCCGGTGAAACGATCTATCATAGGAAAGGCAAAAAGCAAAGCAGAAAAATAGCATCAGACACCTTACCAAAAGGTAACGATGATGTGCGTGTAAGTGCACACTCCCATGCTCACCTGCACGCTTGTCCCTTTCGGCAAGGGCACGTAACCCCCAAGAGTGTGCAGTTCCTGTATACTGTAATTTCACAATTTTTCGGTGTACTTTTTTTCGGTACTTTCGGTGTGTCTGTTTCACACCTAAAATTTCAACACACCGAACAAACACTAACACACATAATCCAATAGGGAACTGCTTCTCCGTACCGAAAATTTATGTTCACCTAACCTAGCCTGTTGCCCTCATACCGAAAATATTGAGCACCGAAAATCTCTGAAATTAGAGTACCCTGCTGCCCCGATAGAATTTCAAGGTGACATCATTCTTAGGATGCAATGCCCCTCGCAGGAAAGATTTGCAGTGTTTGTACAGGGTGTCAACACATTACAAGCGTATTCCTTGAACTAATTTGTACAACATTTCCAGCCGATGCCTCTGTAGATGGCTTGTCCGACACCACAGATGCCGCTGTGATGGACTTGGCGGCAGAGCCCTCAGCGGATTCAGAGGTCCGTACCACTGTAGCCTTGGCTGTAGGAGCATCGCTGCTGCTGCTGCTACTGCTACGCCTCATACCGGTGGCGGGTGGATCCGTTTCGGATCTGGCTCCACTGGTGCGCATCGGTTTCACGCCTGACAGGCAAGCAACTGTAGGGGCTGCGACAGCCACGCCCCAGCTGAAGGCATAATTGCTTGGTGCCACGTACGCAGGAAAGCCTGGGTAGTAATCCGCAGGCATTGCACTCTGAGCGCCGGTTGGCTGGTGAGGCATCTGTGGCTTCGCTGAGGGCCTTAGAACCTACAGCACGCAAAAACATCATCAAGGCACGTGCATGAATAAACCATCGCACAAAACATGCCAAACCTACATACAGCGTAGTGTGAAAAGGCCAAGACGCCCAGGCCAGCCAAAGTACATTACCAAAACTAAGGAGGTGTTTGAGTTACCCCTGTCAAGTTTGGAGAAACATCTAAGAAAGAAAAGAGGAGTTGAAGTGTCCAACAAACGGTTGCTGTTAGTCTTACCATTTTCATGAGAAATGTCATAACAATGGGATATTCTGCCATGCAACTCAAAGTGAGAAAAAACCAAAAATCCAAAAATGAGTACAAAGCTGGTACACTGGAAATATCGGTATTTACGGAAGGCCCCTAACCAAGAAGTAGACATTTCAGTAGGTGGACTCCCCACATCTGAGCACTCCTATTTACCTACCAAGCGTCTTTCTCACCTCTCTGAGTCATTAAAATTGGCATCTCAACGAAAAACAACACCAAGAAATATTGATCGTGTTAGGTATGCTATGGAACTTCAGTCACGCAGGCATGCACGCCAACTCGATCAACAGGCAGTACGAAAGTAATTATCTGTTATTCAGAGAAGAACATTTCAGAGAGAGAGAGAGAGAGAGAGAGAGAGAGAGAGAGAGAGAAAACAAGTCTAGAGCAAAACGACAACTTATAACAAGAACTACTAATGAACTCATGGCAAAGAGTTCCCAAAAGGCAACTGAGTACAGCCAACTCAGATGCATATGGACTATCGGGCTAGAGCAATAATGAGTGCGGTGGTACGACTTCTACGCACAGCACGCAAGACTCGCAACAACGCACTGTACCGGAACTAGTAACGATAGCATGATAAGACTGAAAGCGTGCATACAGCAAGCAATGCAAAACAAAGGAAACACATCCATGCATCGTGTGCAGCAGACCACGATGATTGATGAAAGGGCAAACTGTCATACTGGGTGAAACACTACCCATGTAGGCTTACAGCATGATCAATGAATAGTGAAGCAATAGACAGATAGGTTCAGTTATATATACATTACACCTCTCCCCTTGATGACATTAGCCACGGACCCGCTGAGGAGGACGGATAGCAGCCCGGCGACAAAGTCCGTAGGCTTGGTCAAGCTGCGGATCCATGTCGATTTGGATGATAGCAGGGATGTCATCACGATCATCAGCAGAGTCAACATCTGCATCTGCGGCAACGGGGTGAGGGTCAAGCTTGATCAGGTAGACATTCACTACTTTCTCAGCATTGCAACCACGTACAGGTTCACACCGCCGAATCACCACAGTCGAGGGGGACAGAACACGAATGACTTGCCAACCAGGTTCATACATCGGTAGACGCTTCTGGTGACGGTCAGGACGGCGGAGGAGAACGTGATCACCAGTGTGATAGACAGGCACAGTCTCCTCTTCGATGCGATCAGCGTCAGATAACTCGGATTCCACGAGGTCGCGCAGTCGAGCACACCGAGCAGGGTGATCCCGAGACCAGTTGCTGCCGTCATTCACAGTTCGATCTGGATCAGCGATCAACTGGTGTGGTGTCCAACCACAGATGGCTTCCATCTGTGAAATCTTGGTTGCGGAATGAGGTCGGTTACGATAGAAGTACAGCAGCGTGTTCAGATCAGCATTCCAGTCAGACGATTCGGATAGGACCTTCCTCATCAGAGTCAGCAGTGTCCTGTTGAATCTTTCAACACAGCCCTGCGATTGGGGATGGCGTACTGCTCCAGTTTGGATGGTGACTCCAAACATAGCAAAAACTGAGCGGACGATAGTGTTGATAAACTCAGTGCCATTGTCGAGACGGATTATATCAGGGGGATCCCAGCGAGTGCAAATCTGCACGGATGCATCAGCCACGGATTGCGCATCGTGACGGCGTAGCGGAGCAACTTCCACCCATTTCGAGAACATGTCGATGCAAACCAGAACGGAATGGAACTCACCATATCTACTTGCACCAAGTTCCAGGGTGTCCAGCTGGATGACACTCTAGGGTCGGTCCGGCAGTACAGTGCGAGTCGGAGGAGGAATCTGACCACGGCGAGGGTTAGCACAGCAGCACTGCGCGCAGCAGCTTACGATTTCTTGGCAGCGTTCAGCCATTCTCGGGAAATAGCAGTGTTGGCGGAGAGTGCAATACATGGACTCCCATGCGCCATGCCCAGTGTTGTTGTGCGCACTGTCCAGTAGCTCATCAGTCAGAGATTCGGGAACCACCGGCACTTCAGCGATGTCACCATCGGGCAATTTCACACTTCGGCGAAGCAGGCCAGCCTTCACGACCAGCTGAGCAGCAACTCTCCGGTAGCATGCAGCCGACACAGGAAGCCCATTGGATACCTCGTGAATGGCAGCCAGAATCGGTCCATCATTCTGCTGCGCTGCGCGGATGGTGGCAACAGCCATGGGCGGGGCCACGGCGGGGTTAGTGATATCACCAGCAACAGCACACATATCAGACTTGGCACGGCAGAGCTTCAACCATGGAGTGGGTACTCTTGTCAGCCGATCAGCCAAGTTGCGTTGAAGGCACCCATTCGACCACGACAGACAGGCCGGTGAGGCAGACAAGCTCTAGGATAGCTTGCAAGCGACGTTGGACAAGCACATCATACAGACAGCTGGTCTTGACACGGCAGATGTCGTGCAGCAGGTTATACAGCCAACCATGCACGGTCTTGGAGTCGGTCAGGAGGCGCACACTCGTGAGGCCGTAGGCGGTGGCACGCTGAAGGCCACTCATCACCGAATCAAATTCGGCGAAATTGATGTGCGTACGATCATCCTTCGGACGCAGCCAGCACGCATCCTCGATCACGTCTGCACTGCATTGCACCACAATTCCGGTGGCAATGTTGGATGCATCGCACCATACTGACCATTGTGCGGCAGGTGGGGCGGACCAGGCACCGTGTACCGGATCTTCTCCTTCAACGCGACCAGACAGCTCTTTGCAGAGGCTTACTACTTCTGCCTGGTGGTTCCTTGGCGTCCCAGCCTCCAGGAGTGAGCGAGTCAGCCAACCTCTTCAGGTAGCTAGTGTATGGCCTGAGCCAGGAGCACACAGGGTTGTGACCAAGCAGGCAACCACACCAGCGGAACACATCGCGCTTCGTTGGGCTCGCTGGGCAGCAGAGGTCGACATCTGTGCGTCGTCGCCACTGCAGGACGTCGTTCGAGCTGTGGAGCTGGAGACCAAGGACGCGTGCTGATCGCAAGCATTCAGCAGGTTTGGTGGGTAGGCCAAACTTCACCATCTCAACTTCCACCGTGGTGACGAGATCCTCCCGTACGTTTTACAACCTTATCCAAGCTGGCCTGCATGCACTCTCGTACTCACCTTTTTTGTTTCCTTTTGTTCCGTTGGCCTGGGTAGCTACTTGCGCGCCCATAATTGCCATAGCTACCCAGGCCCTTCATCTTGCCGTTCACACTTGATCTCCCTCTCTGGTCTCTCTCTCTTCCACAATGTCTTCGTTTCGTTCATCTTTGTCTCAGTCTCTTCGTCTCCCTAATAAATGTTGTTCGACCTAACCTGTTCCCGTTGTCCGTTGCAATGTCTGGAGAATATGTCGTCGTCCTTTTTGTGTTCAAAATTGGCTAAAAAGTGTTCACCCAAATAGTAAAGAGCCGTCCATAAATATCGATATCTTATCAGGATTGAAGAAATTACGTGTGTGATATCTGAGCAAGCGTTGTACAAACGCGTCATAAGTTGTTATCTTATTACTTACGTTGCCTGCATGCATATGCGCATGCCTGTTGTTTTGTTGTCTTGTCTTGCTCTGAACGAGTGATAAACAAGTCTTGAGTTTTTCCCTATCTGACAAGTTTGTCTTGGTCTTGTGTAGTGCCTGGGTTGCATGTAACAATTTGGCGACGAAGACAACGTCCTGCGCGATGGAGGGAGATCGTGACCGTCTTCCACCATTCGACACGTCCGGACCCCCATCTCAAGTGGCTCTGAGGTGGACAAAATGGGTTCGAGCCTTTGACTATTATCTGATGGGAAAGGACATTACAAACAAGAAGCGTTCAAAAGCACTGCTCTTGCACTTCGCGGGTCTAGAAGTTCAGGATTTATTCGAGGACCTATCCGACCCAGATGACAGCCTTCCACCAGATCAGAGAACACAGAATGACAATGAGTTCCTCAAGTGCAAGCGTACCTTGCAAGCTCATTTCGGTGCTCCTGCAAACCCTACGTATGAGAGGCACGTCTTCCGTCAACTCACTCGCCGGCAGGGTGAGTCCACAGTGCAGTACTGCACCAAGCTTCGGCAGCAAGCTCGGCTTTGTTCTTTCGAGAATGAAGGACAAACTGCGGAAGCTATTCGTGACCAGATCGTAGCCACAGTCGACAGCAGTGAGCTGAAGAAGAAGCTCCTGTCAGAACCAGCCCTGACTCTGCCACGAGCGTTGGAAATGTGCAGAATTTGGGAGGACGCCCAGTCCCAGTCGGAAGGAATGTCCTCAACCACTTCTACTTCGTCTGGTACCGGTTATACCGGGAGTAGTAGTATGCTTGTCAATGCCGTGCACCACCGAGACCAGAGTCACAGGCAAGCTGGACGGGGTGGATTTGTGCAGTCATCGCGTGGCCAGTCACGTAAATGCGGTGGATGTGGAGACCAGTGGCACGAGAAGCGCGAGTCATGCCCAGCTTGGGGCAAGTCGTGACGGAAGTGTAGGAAGCCAAACCACTTCGCCAAAGTTTGCCGTTCACAGCAGTCCAGCACTGGTGGCAGTGTACACATGGTTGGCCAGTCTCAAGAAGTACATGGAACGTCGCCAGTCGACCCTGCTCTTGCTCCAAGTCATAGTGCAAGTGCTGGTACTGGTGCGAGTGTTGCATCCGGTCCTACAACTGCAAGTCCGTACAGCAGCGGCCTGGACGAGTACTATTCGTTGTACCGCACGCAGAGTGACAAGGACCGCGTGGACCCGTACTGTTGTACCCTCCAGTTATGTAAACAGCCAGTCGTG